AAGGCCGCCTTAAGGACAATAATATGAAGTTCATCACGTATGGCTTTGGTAGACGGTAAGTCGTGCCGACATCGGTTTTCTGACACTGATCAACGAAGTTCATTTGTCATTAAAAGTGTATGTCCTGGCCTACACCTCGCAAACCACTCGTTGTACATTTCCCTTGCACTTCTCTTGTGGTCTTTCCGCATTGTTCAACGACCCGACGCACCGATTAACACGCACGCTTTCAGTGACGTGGTCACTCCCCATGCAGCGCCATTTAAAATCGATGTCATTCCCCGGGTCAAGGTTGCGAAGCTGAGAGCGATGATGACGGATGGGTGTACGGATTAGAGTGTTTTAAAACTGCAGCTGCCTTTAAAACTAGCACATAATGATGAGTGCAAGAAGGGGCAAACACAACCACAGAATTCGCATTGTAGTTGTTGCTGAAAGTGCTGGTGAATACAGATGATTCGGACACAAAGTGAGGTGAGCACGCTCCATGATCAGCTCTTGATCAGCTGCACTTGCAGCTTCGCACACTTGTGCACGTCAATACGTCGAGTTGATGAAGAGATAGAGAATACCCTGAGCAACAAACCATGGATCACAACAAGACAACTTGAACCATGGTCTGAAGGCGGGCTTTTATACAGCAATAGAACTGAGTAGTAGTCCTGACCACGGTCGAATGATATCTTTGAAGAAAATTGCTTCAAAAAAGCAGTCACCCGCAAGACTTCAACACACTGGTGATAGCTCAACATGCTCGCTCTTTGGAATCAGTAGGAATCGGATGTATAATAAAGACCTAATATTCCGATGGCATAATCAGTTGTACCACAATGCGACCGAGTCTGATTAGCGTACTCAGAAGATAATTGATTTGTTTGCATGAAAGATATCCTCCACAAAGTCATCAATTATATCATATCGACATCACCGTGTCAAGGACCCTGTATGGCTGGATTACGAGGAGATGAGAGACGCTACGGAAATCACTGGCATTCAAATAGTACCATTCTCCAGCGACAGAACAGCTATGGGTGCCGTGGTCAAGCAAGATCCTCACGAAGATGTACATACTGGCACAGCTTTCTGAATGGTGGTCCTGGGTCGTGGGAGGTAGGTGAGTGACTGGAATGGTAGAACAAAGAATATTGGCAACTTAGGAACAACGAAGGGGGTATGTATGACGACGGCGATCATGGTGATGCGACGACAGCGAGCACGTTGAGGGTGACAACGAGGACGCTGAGAATGGCATCAGTTAGTGGGGAAATGTACGTATTTGCAAATAGAATAATACAACAAAAAATCGTGTTAGTGAAAAACAGCCGCATCAGAGCTCCACAGTCAAGATCTAGCCGCCCGGGATTGGTGACCTGGGACCTGAACACATGGTCTGCCAGCCAGGGTCTGCCCAGGGCAGTGGCAACCCTTTTGTTCTATTGTCACACAAAGGGTGGTGTCAGTGATTGCGAATACATAAGAGACACTCAAGTTCAGGTTCGCAAAGAAAACGTAATCTGATCCACGGATCGGGCTTACACCGCCATCTCGCGCGCTCCGGAGGCGCTAGTACGACAATGTTCTTGTCGGCGGTCTTGCTTTCTGCCTCCGGTCAACGATGAGCATGATCAAGTCTGCTCTATATCATCAAGTTGCACCGAGATCTAGAGCTGCAAATAGGCGTTGCAGAGTCCTAGTGCAACTATCGGCGATCGCGTCGTACGATCAGTGCATACTCGCTGATAGCTCGCAGAAATAGCAAATATTGAACAGATTGATTTCGATGGATGTCGATAGGATCGGGTCATATGTGTACTGATGGCAAAACGCAAAAGCTTTCCGTCGACAACGTCAACCAATTGCATGTGCTCGATCTTGGCACTCAACTTGAAATTTTTAAAGTCCGCGACGAGCGATCAGATCGTTTGCGCCTAATTGATCACTATGCGTTTCACTTGACCTCGGTACAAAGCCAGCTGTACATTGGTATATATATAATTGTCCTATTATAACTATGAACACCAGCTGCAGAATATACAGTATAAGACAATATATGGTCCAAGTATTCCGATCAATTATCCAGATTAGGAGTTGAAATAAAGATAGTTATGCGTAATATCCGAGTCCGAAGCCATGTTCGCGGGAGCATACATGCCGTGTGTTATATTCGGCGAAGAAAATACACATGGATACATCGACATCGAGTGGTCATAGTTTACTGACCAACTCTCAGGAAGAAAATGTGACACTGGCCTATCATCAGTAAGATTCTCCGGGAAGAAGCATTACTACTAACTCACCAGGATGAACCGGGGTCGGGTATTGCATGGGAGAACCAGCGTTACTAGTAGTAGTACTAGTTGAAGTCGAAGCTGCCTGTTCTTCAAGAAGCGAACGGTAACCTGTGTCAAGCTGCCTAATAATATCAGCAGCTGCTCTTCAGTCAGCAAACTCTTCGATCTCGGGAGTTTAATCTACCAACCTTTTATCAGGATATCGTGCCGTGTGTTGGGGTCCGCCTGTGTTATTTCTTTGATGATCTGTCGCAGTTGCGAAAAGTCTTCCGCCTCAGTCGAGCGGTAGAGCCGCTGCAGGAGCTTTTGCGACTCCTGCCAGTGTGCGCGTGTCTGCCAGCTGTAGACATGTTGCTTCACCGGGGAAGTGGATGACTGCTCGGCACTCTGATTGTAGTCCTTACTACTTATACATGCAGTGGGGCGTGTGACGGCATACACTATCGGGAAGCATCGAATAACGCTATCGACAATTAAATTTAGTCCCGTGCAGTCTCGCATGTACATCTAATCCTCAATCTTTCAAAATCCAAAATTATCCAGAGCAAGGTGAGCCGATCAGCCGGTGAGCCCGATTATTGGGAAATCCCGGCAAATGACTCCACAGCCTCTCTGCAGAGCTTCACAATAGGCGCTTATCAGGCGCCCGACTAAGTGCCGCGGATGAGAGCGCTAAAGCGAAGATCAAGACGATTCTTCAATCATTCCAATGATATACATCTCGGGCGTGAGGGATAATATCATATATGCAATATTAGAACAACTGAAAATCAGTATTTTGAAAAGATGACGGAAAATACGCATACCTCGCTAGTCCTGACTGAAACTACATGTCAATCACTGACTGCGGTTAGGCGACAAGAATCCACATGCTCATGACTTGTCCGCAGCAGAATTGTAACTCTTAGAATACAATTTTGAACCTTCGTAAAACGAGCGATGCACTGCCTGGCGAGCACAGGCTCTGCAGAATCTCGGTCAGGGGTACGGACGTCGCGTCCGGAATGCACAGCTATTACAGATATCCGCCAACTATAGCTTGAGCCTCCCGGCAATAAAGTACTGCACTCGGGGGTGCTTCGGTGGTGAGGTAGACTTTTCCTGAGTAGGAAGTGTGGTGCTGCTACCCAGCTCGGGACTGTGTATGTCTCGTCCGGGATGCACAGCTACCCACAGTTCTCCGTGAACTATGGCCAATCGATTTCCATGTAACTATTGATACAATTCGCTCGGGGTGCTTCGGTGATACAATGAATTTCTCCTACGCATAAGGTTGGCGCTGCTACCCATTCATTCATACGAAGGCAGTGAAAAACAACATTAAAAGACGCACGACCATAAAATTTTCGCGCATCAGACAAATACACATGATACAGCATGGCGGGACCCGAATTCCACACGAATCGTTGGCGCCATAAATTTACGTGTCTTGTCAGTGTGAATAATGATGCTCCAAAATTCTTGTGGCAGCACTGCAACGACATATCCGGTTTAGCATAGACAGAAATCCTATCTTATCGCTGCTTCAAGTAGAGATCAACGGGGCGACGGAAGCCTGACGATCTAATAAGACTCAGTTATTCCGGAATGAACGCAACTTACCGCCTTTCCCAGTGACCCCGAGACGCTGACCATGACTAAATCCGAGCTTCTCCAGTAGTTCCCCAAAGCCATCTGGACGGAGTTGTAAATATTTTGCATTCTCTTTGAGAGTCTCGCTCATCCTTCGAGCTTTTGAGTAAGTGTCCCAAGGTTGTGGCTCGAGGACGAAAACACCCCCAACTTTCAGACATCGATGAACTCGGGAGAAAAATTCTTGCAGTCCTTCGTCCTTGTTATTTAGATGAATCCATTTTGAGATAGAAAACCTATCATATCGGTGATGCCTTGTCCCCTCAAGAACAGCCATGACACGTACCCTAAAACGATATCGTATTGATCGTAATCCTCCGGTATTTCATCCTTCACCCAATCAACTGTTCGGAATGTGACATTGTGCGGGAAAGCACCGCATCCTCTGTCTGGGATGGGCAATGGGCCGTAGCTATGTTCGCACGATGCAGGGAAGTAATTGGGAGCACTACTGTCCGTAGTGGACGCATCACCGAGGAGTCGTTGTCGTTTTGGCGGAGGGCAACGCTCCTCATTGATATTTCCACCTTCAGGAGACTGAAGGCTCCAGGCGGTGCGTCTTCTCTTCCAGGCAGCTCTGATGAGAGTGTCGTCAATATCAACTCCGATGACCTGATGTGCCCCCCTGGACTGTCCTGGTTCCCGAACTGAACAAATGGTGTCCTGAACCGCGTCAAAAGTAGCCTACCTATCTCACAAGTCACCCAGCCTTCATTGCATCCAACATCTAGAACTCGCTTACCCACGAAGAATTCAGTGGGGAGCAAAGCCAGTCGTGGATCTCGGATGAAAGGACGCTTGGAGTAATATCTATACAATTCTCCGTCAAAGATACAAAACGAGGAGCTTTTTTAGACACCTACCCATGATAGTTTCCATAAATCGGGACCGCTTGGCTACCCGCATGTACTGGCATAATCACTGCAGTGGTGTGCACTGAGTGTTGGTTTGTGCCGTTATAATTTACATAATGAACCGCTGGTGCTCAGTGTCCGATCCGGACGGAGAAGCCGGATGGTACGCCGAATATGTCAAGAGCACTAGTTCTACTACTAATTTACAGTGTACGATCGCAGCGCGGCATCGACATATGCACGTTAACTCTTATCGGGGGGCCCATAACGAAAACTCGCCAGCATACCGGAATCTGGGTAGGCAAAAGAATCCAGAAATATTTCGGAGTTCAAGAACATGTTCAACAGCGATAATATTTCCATACAACAAGTCATTAAATTTTGTCCCGAGTCCATTGTAGTGGGGAGATCTGGCATAGGCCCTTGGGCGTGCTAGGATGGTCTGACACAGGTCATAGGGAGGGCCACGGGTCCAGGTTTGGCCTTGGGTTCCCTTACGTGCCCGTTCCACCATGATTCGACGATCCAGTACTTACTTCTCAAAAAGATGAGAAACAACTTTTCGACGACGAATTTAAAACCAGGGACGGTGGTGAAATTTTTTTAGACAGAAGAGCAGGCTTTGTCGCTAAGTGGACGCTATGACGGATTCAACATTGGGCAAGAATGGACTCGGCGGCATGGTTAAGTAGACACTACTTCAGGGGTGTGTGCACAGTATCATATAGTGTCATGCGGGACACTAGTAGGTATGCATCTGAAAGGTGGACGGATGCGTCTTCGCCATTTTGCCAAGTACGCAGGGTCGATTGGCAAAACAATGAAAACGTATCGTCGTATCACGCGAAATGAAGGATTGCGGCACACATCGAGCAAGACTTGAAATTTAAAATGGAAGGAAGTCGGACATTCAAATCTGCTGGTCTGTTCCCACCATCTAGTACTCCGAGTCTACCACCAACAACTGAGTCGTGCCCACCATGTGACCAGTCAATGGATGTTGACGCCTTGCGAGCGAACCATGAGCTTGCACAGATGTCGCTTATCGACCTTACTCGCTTCATCCATCTTACACACGTACTCAAGGACGAGCATCTACCTGTCGCGGCCTCGCACAGTTCCTGTGAATATCGCTCCTACTTGCTACCGCCAGCGATCATAACCTTTCTCACTCAGTCGTTCGCCATATCATCCGAAGTAGTGCATCATCTATGGGCTGTCATGAAACATCTTACCTAGACATTGCCTAATGTTGCCTGGTTGGGCAGAATACCAGATGCGTTGGCCTTGTTCTATCACCCAATTAATGAAATGAAAATGCACGTCGATGTGCTTTGTGCGAGCGTGGTATTGATGTCGATGATCCTTTGCTAGCGCACAATTGCGGATTGGTTGTCTGATCAAAGGGTTCATGGGGGCGAAAAGGTTGCCAATGAATGACCACAACCATAGGACTTCCTTTGCTGCGTGTGTAACATATTACAAGATGGCTCCACCTTCAATGACAAGAGACCTATCGTTGATGGAGGAACCGTTCCTCATCACCCTCATTTATTGTTGTCGTAAAATGATACACTTCAGTGGCCCTGCAGGAATACAAGTCAAATATAATGTCTACTAGAAGCTACGAGGATGATCTATGAACAAATCAAATGGTAGAAATAATGAGGAGTTACGGAAAAGTATGATGCCAGTAGTGATGGCTCATTGTGGCTTCTTGGACCTCTTGATTTGTGTTGCGAGTCGTGACACGCTGTGCAGACAAGAGACTGCGGCTAATGTAAGAAATAGCGGGGAACGAGAGAGATGCCGGGCGATCGCGATGTAAGATAGAATACTGGCCGGAAACTCCCGAAAGGCGCCTGCACGCAGAGATTTGCAGACCCAATTTCCGAATAGATAATGTAAGGTTTATTCGAGGGGTGCAAGCGAAATAAATACATTCCCGCTACCGTGAGGGAGTGGGTCTTATTGTGCACTATTTTCACGTTTTTGCGGTAGATCTGTCTGATTTTGCCCCGGCTGTTTTTTCGCTTCAAATAGTTACTTGCTGTGCTGGTCTTGCCTTGAATGGTAACTTGCTGTGCTCATTGATCGGACCAGGCCTCAGCTTTTTTCATTGGCCATCGTTCACGCCCCTTATTAAAAGCCCCTCAAATTTGCAAGATGTCCACTCAACCCTGCACTTGCATTTCTTCTTGCCTCTCACCATGACCTCGTATATTGGCTGTATTCCTGTATCTGTTATCTTTGACCCTGACTTGCCTCTGTCTGTTGTCTCTCTGTCAATTGCTCGCTCTCTGGGTCATCCCGAGTCAGTCTTGCATTTTTCCGAAATACGTACGGCCGCTTATCAAGGTTGCTCGCTCACTACCGATGTCGACTTCGAGGTCGGATGTCTTGTCGATGCTGATGTTGCGATTGGCCTGAATTGGATTGGTGCGTGGTGCACCATCGGTCGTGAATCTGATGTTGCTCTTAATTTTGCTCGTCGTTCTATGTCTGCTACGCCTGGTGATGTTATTTGTACTTCCTCTTTCTACATTCACTCATTCCGTTTTGTTCCTCTAGCCGAACCATGTCTCTTTCATGGTAATGCCGACCTGGACAATCAAACTATTGATGGTAGTCAGTTGGATTTAGCCCAATCCTCGTCCCTCGACGGGGCAGTTTTATCGTCGCGCACACGATCAGCATATATCGTTCATGATATCTTTTTGGCATGTGTCATTCTGGGGTTCGCATCAGCCCTTTTTTGTCCGACCCCGCTTTGCTAAGTTAGGCTTGTACTCTGCACGGCTTAGTATTTCCTCAACCGTATTCACTTCTCGAGTTACGCAATCTATTTTTACAACATATGCTTTATGGGGAGTGTGTGGTTTCCGGTATACGTCCTAAGCACCGTGATTCTACAGCCTGTCGTGAGATTTCTGCAGGTTTCAGTTCATCTTCTGATTTAGCTAATTTCATATTGGACGAATTGATGTCCGAAGCATCGTTGGTGCCATCAGGTCCTGACTTATGGGTCGTTGCACAAAGTGTTTGTACTGATTTAGTATCCAGCTTTAGCCACAAAGATCATCCCAGGCGGAAAGCTATCGGTGTCTTAAACGTCTTTCGTAGTCGCCATGCATATGAAAGTGTGTCCAAATCATCACAATCCATGTTTTCTAAGGCAGAGCATATGTCTAAATCTTCATTGGAAGCCATCGCGTCGTGGCATGGCCTATGTTTTGTGGGCACTAAAGATCAGTTGTTGGACAGGATTACTGACCACATGTCCAAAGGTCTATGTGCTTTATCCTTGCCAGATCCTTGATTGGTGTGTTCCCGATTTAACAACGATTTTCGTGCTGAAAGTTCTTTTGATGCTTCCGAGTGCTCTCCTGATACCACCCAACAGACGATTGATTTGCAGATTAACATTTTAACAACGCTTCGCAAAACTATTGCGCGCAAACCTCTCCTGCGATTATTGCGCTGTCACGACATTGAACATTCCGAAAGCGATACTCTCTCGCAACTCAGAAAACATCTCAAAAATATATATAAGTGTTCTTGTTAAAGGTAAAAGATCGCATGCGTTTTGGGTCCGCAAGGACCATGAACATCTCGCAGTGGAGAGGGAAAAGGCACAGATATCGTCGGACTGGCCACGTGTTGTGTCAAATGCTAGGAAGAAACACGTAATTGAAATTTTTCGTGAGCAAACGAGCTCCGAAGCCTTAGCTACCTTCGTGTGCTTCGCTTGTGCAGCTCGATATGATCTTAAGGACAGGCAGCACTTGTCTTTCGACGATTTTGATGTCAGTTTACTCAACCGCCCTGATATGCGGTTACACAAGGGGCGTCTCGTTGACGAGAGTTATATTTGCAAAGAATTTGCACATTCCAACTTTAACGTTGAGTTTCTTGCCAACATCATGTATGAAAGCCAGGGATTAGCGTTCGATGATGGCAATTCAGATCAACCTAGTGGAGCATATTGTTGTAAGGGATGTTTTTTCTCACTGAAGAAGAAAAAAAACTCCTAGCCTGGCTCTGGCGAATCATACTTATGTCGGTCCACTTCCTTTGGAATTGCGTGACCTCAGCATTGTTGAAGAAATGATGATCGCGCTGTGCAGGGCGAAATGTTTTATCTTACATTTGTGCGAGGAGTTGTGCAACATACCTAACGCTCAAAGAGGCTTAAAGGGTAATGTGATTACATTTCCGCAGCAGTCCTTCGAAAGTGCTGGAGATGTTTGCCTCCCCCAGTCGAAGATGTAGTCACGCCCATTTGTGTATTGTTGTCGGTTCATCTCCACCAAGTGTGGATTGGTTGGCAGATGCAACCTTGATTGTGCGCAGGGAAAAGTAAGGTCAGCTTTAATCTGGTTGCGCGAGCATAATGCGTTATACGCAGACATGACAATCGAATCATGATCATTTAGATTTGTTGGGTGAGGAAGATATCTTACCAGTTCACATCGAGACCATCTCACCGGATGCTGAGCAGTGCACAAGACTGCACTGACTTCACGATATGATGGTATTCCTGATGCTTCTGAAGATCCACCGTCTCAAGAAGATGTTGTCAATGACCGTCCAACGAAGGACGTAGGTACAGAGCCAGCGCATCCTGTAGATGTTTTCGAACATGTCGTGGTGACTGATGTTGATGGGAATGCCCCCAGCCATGAATTGCGTGCGGCTGCTTTGCGTCATGTGAAGGAAAAGAACGGCGGCTTCAGTCCAAATCCCACATGGGCTAAGTCCTATGAACTGAATATGTTAACCCTGAGTTACTCCCAAAGATTTACCCGACTTTGTTTCTCGTATGGAGTAGGTGGTTTCAAGCATCCTCGTCGCATGTGCCCTCTGTCGTTCAAACGCCACATCAAGCACCTGTTTAATTTAACAGATAGGCGCTTCCAAGAGCATTATTCCTTTTTATTTGTTGTGTTCAACATTTTGCAGCGAAGGAAATCGTTACTACATACCAGCCTCAAAGTCAAGCGCACTATGTTTGAGTCCTGTGTCAGATAGCTTTGCCTCTGTTTCTTCATCAGCTGTTCACGCGGTTGTGGAGCACGTTGCAAAGGGTGATTTTGTTACGGCCTACACGCCAGAGGAACAAAAGGTGCGTCGATTACTGCAAGAAGTTAATAATGTGACGTCGCATGTTCCTGGATCTGGTGCAGCACGCGCTGTAATGTTGCAATCAAATCAGAGGCTTAATGTTTGATAAAGGTTTGCCTAACTTTTATATTACAATCAATCCTGCAGATGTGTATAATCCTATTGTCAAATTCTTGGCAGGCAGTGAGATAGATATTGATGACATGTTGCCAAACGAGGTACCCGAATATTGGCAACAGTCCATCTTGGTCACTCATAATCCGATAGTAGCTGCAAGGTTTTTTAATTTGTATATCAAGTCGTTTCTTAGTGCCATTTTGGGTTATGATAAGTTGAGTGGTGCGGTCTCTGAAGGCATTCTTGGTCATGTGAAAGTGTATTATGGGTGTGTCGAATTGCAGGGGCGCGGGACGTTACACTGTCATATGATGGTGTGGTTAGAAGGGGGACATGACCCCCAACGAGATTAAAGACGCATCATGCAAACAAATGATGTTGACTTTTGTGACCGCTTGTTGGCCTTTCTTGACGATACAATATCAAATGTTATTCCTGATGACCCAGATCCCAATATTTCCGTTTCATCAGTGTTTGCATCATCCGTGCTCCGTGTGTGGCGTGGCTCTGAACATGAGTTGTGATGATTCTTTCAATACAGCGGCTCGTCAGAAAGATTTGCATCATTTAGTGAAGGTTTGTCAGTGCACAAGCATAACCTCACATGTTTCAAGTACTGGAAGGGTCCGCCCAGCCCGCGTGAGTGCCGATTTGATCTTGACGAAAGTCACTTTTGTGCAAACAGCTATGTTGACCCAGAGACAGTGCGAAAATTTGCTTGCGTTGTTTGGACGGTATGGTTAACATTGTAACGCATCAATGTTGGAAAGCCAGTACTGTGCAATATGGATATCAAGTTCATCGGTTCATGGGTGCGTCTGCAAAGGTCGATTTATATTACATTACAGATTATATCAGAAGTCCACAGCTAAAAGCTCATGTCGCATATGCTGCATTAGATTTTGGCAAACGTAAGGCTGTCTGAGTTTGATCCTACAGATGATGATCTTACCATCCGAGCAAAAGAGCTGATAAGGAAGAGTGCGCACACGCAATGATTTCTCATCAGGAATTGTCTGCCCAGCAAGTGGCTGCTTACCTGATGGAATTTGGCAATCATTACACCAGTCACGAATTCATCAATGTCTTTTGGACCTTGTTTGAGAACCATGTTGATGCCATTTTGCCTCTTCCTAAGTCATATGTCGCTGAAGAACATTGTGAAACTCATATCCCCGATGACAATGAGACACATTCACTAAACGAAACAGACTATGATCAGGCTGATTCATTAAAACCGCCATCTGATGAAGAAGTTATGCAGAATCTTGCTGATAATGATTTGGCCAATGATGAAGTTGGTTTGTCAATGGATGACAGTGGCAATTTGGTCCCGAGAGCAAATCAGGTCCAAGATTATACACTGAGATCTTCTGGGCTTCGGGATATGTGCATATGGGATTTTGTCACTCAAGTTCAAAAACAAAAGATTAGGCAGCTGAAAAAGGATGACGAGGCACATTTTCCTGACAATGAGGACGTTATTGCAGAAGACTGTCCCGATGATTTGGAGCTTGATTCTAATATAGACGCAGATGATACATCAAGCACAGCAGATGTTCCGGACGAGGAAAGCAAGGACACATACGATCCTCAGAGGTCGATTGAGGACATCATGAAGGTTAAAACGCGCTTACGCCCTTCTTTCCAACTGCTTGATAAGCATATCGAGAATGTAACACATTGTCTTGTCGTGCGTCAGCCAAATAAACGATGTGTACCTGTACCGATAGGTCCTTCCTTGCCGAGGCGTGATCGTCCTGAGGTCAGAGAGCGATATTGCCGAGTCATGCTCATTTTATTCAAACCATGGACCACTGTGGCTGATTTGCGCAGCACATTTGGGTCGTGGACTGATGCCTTCGAAGCTTTTGTGAAAATATGTTCGCCAAATAAGTTATTTGTGATGAAGAATATGCAGATTTTGCATGAATGTAAAGATAGTCGAGACGATCATTTTGTGAATCGTCGCCAGCGTGCTTCTAACCGATCAAATCATGTATGTGGCGAGGTCTTAGAATGTACAGTGTTTCCAGAAGATTGTATAGATCATGATCTGAATGAAGAGGATATCCTTGACCACATGACGAATATTGAGCAAGTCTCGTCCATGAAAAGATCACAACAACGAGATGCGACATTAGATTGTCTCCATCACATGAAACTAGCAGGCCGTTTTCAATTAAGCGAGGGTTCCGTGCCACCAAATAATCTCAGTACGACACAAGGAGACATCAATGAGGTAGACCAAAGCAATCTTGCACTAGAAGACAAATGGCAACATGCTTATGATACTAGGAGGGAAGCATGGAAATTACGTGCAGTCGAACAGGGTCGTCCTGCGCCAGTGACATCTGGTCAGTCATGTGATCCGGACGTTCAGATCTCCACCAGAAACGATTTTCAGCACGCAGGTGATCATTCTCCAGCATATGCAACACCAGAAATGGGTCCATTGATTGTACCAACCACGAAACAGCCTGTCAAAGAACCGATAGCAGTTGACATATCTGCTATGATTTTAGAATATGGTTTGAATGTTGAGCAAGCCCGTGCATTTTCTTTGATAGCTGGTCACTCACTGACACAAAATTCGGAACCACTTCGCATGTACTTAGGTGGCCCTGGAGGAATGGGAAAATCATGTATCATTGCTGCGGTCACTGAGTTTTTCAACCGGCGTGGTGAACAAGATCGGTTTCAGCTGTCGTTGTTTATGGGAGTTGCTGCACGCAACATTGGTGGTATGACATTGCACGCTGCACTAAACTTGAATCAACGCAGAAAGAGAGGCAGTGAAGGAAAAATCAAATGTGACCTCATTGCAATGTGGCAGAACGTAGATTACCTACTGATCAATGAGGTTTCAATGATTAGTTGTAATTTTTTGGTGCAGATACACGAGGCTCTTTGTCAAGCGAAAGAAAACCTTGCTCCTTTTGGAGGAATTAATATTGTGTTTGCTGGCGACTTCGCCCAACTGCCACCTGTTGGTCAACGGGGCCTTCACTGCAAAGTGAACACGTATACGGCGACCACGACTAAGGGACAAAAAGCTATGTTTGGCAAATTGCTGTGGTTATCCATTAGTACAATTGTCTTACTGAAGATCGTGATGCGACAAACAGGGGATCACAACGCATGCTTTGTGGAGGTTCTTGGCCGTTTGCATACTGGTACTTGTTCTGATGAAGATTTTGAGTTGTTGTCTATGAGAATTATCTCTACAGTGAGACCTACTTGGCATCTTGGCGAATGGCTCGACGCGCCTGTCATCACATCCACAAATGAAGTTAAGGATATCATCAATGAATGTGCAACATTGGCATATGCACAATACACACATCGAGCTGTGCATTGGTATTATTGCTTCGACAAACACAATGGGCACGAGATCCACTCACCTGATTTGCGGCGTCATCTTAATGGGCTACATTCAGGTTCAACTTCCCAGCGGTTGGGGAGAATACCACTGGTCATAGGTATGCTGGTAATGATTGGACAGAACTTTGACATCAGCGCAGGCATTGTGAATGGCTGCATAGGCAATTTACATAGTATTCGCTATTCAGTGGACGTAAATGGTCAGCGCCACGCTATGTCATGTGTGGTACATACCCCATCTACTTCAGGTGCATCAGTAAATCACTAAACCTTCACAGACTTTGGCTTTTCACACAGATTCTCACAGTGTGACAGACATCACAGAATCCCAGGATCCCAGAGCCACAGACTTACAGATTCTCACAGTGTGCTACAGACTCACAGAATCCACAGAATAAATGACAAAATTTTCACTAAGTCTTTTCTTTAGTTAAACATCAACACTAAGCCTTATTGTAAACTAAAGCTTATTAAAATTCATTGTTAGGACAAAAAGTGCTAAACCTATTGACTAATTAAAACTTGTTGGAATTCACAAATTTTACACTTTGTACTAGTAAACCTCCAACTTGAAGTTTTCTAGTCAAAAATAAGGATTAGTTTTTTTGAAGATTTCAATAAGGGCAAGTTATGTTGAGGTTTGACTATAGATTTCAATAAGAGCAAGTTATAATGGGGTTTGACTATAGATTTCAACTTGACAATATTATGAGGCTTGAGAATCATTGGTATATGTATCATTGTGAGAGAGGAAAAGTAAAGACACTATGGTGTAATGGTAAGTTTGTGTTATTGTTGTTGCTGAACTTTGTGAAGCCTCAAGTTCAATTCCTGCCAATGACACTTGAAAATGTCAAAAATGCGAATTTATTTTGTTCTATTTACTAGGCAATGCTTTGTCACTGTGAGTTCTGTGGCTCTGCTGGGAGGTTCTGTACAGAGCTGCACAGAAAAGATGTAGCTGGACAGAAGGGACCAAGCTGTGGCACTGTGACACTGTACAGCTCTGTACAGCTCTACACAGAACATTGTAATTTACTGATGTGATCCATTGCCTCATCTCGGTGCCCGTGAATCAGTTGTTCTACCAGATACAGTAGACATGTCATTTGAAAATCCTGTCAACGGAAAAAGTGTCACATTAAACGCACTCAATTGCCTCTTGCGCCTGCATTTGCTATGACCACTCACAAGGCTCAAGGTCAAACTATGCAGCGCGCAATTATAGATTTTGAGGGTTGCAGTGGAACGGAGGCTCCCTATGTTATGCTGTTGCGTGTGACCTCGCTGGATGGATTGCTTATTTTACGTCCCTTTTTGAGGAAAAAATTTCTTGTTGTCAGAGTGAGGACATCCACGTGGAAGAAAAAAGACAAACTGTGCTGGCACACCAAACACTCCTTGACCTCACTATGGATAATGAGCAATGTTTGAAAACAAAAATAGTGTTGCAGATCATACTAGGTTGCGCCTCTATGGACAAACTCAGACCATCTGCACAAATGTCAACGGCAACACATGACTCTAGGACACATCTTACCAACAAGGTGCGCACTGTCCAAGCTGAGATCAATATCATTGGTTCCATTCACGCGAGTAAAAGAAAATGTGAGCAAACTCCATCCAATTCAATCAACAATGGGCGGTCAACAATGGCTTTTGATATATCACAGAGGGAATCATGTAAAAAGCGGCGATTAAACTGAAACTGGAATTCGGAACAAGATTAAGCAGTCAGTTCCTGCCGGCGGAGCATATCAAAATCATACTCATGATATAAGTAATTAGCAGAGCATGTCGCCATATTTGGTGTCGGCAGTCCCTAAGCGTCGACACTTCAGAAGCACCACAACCCTTGTTGGCGGAGGACTTGATGGTGAGTTATTAGATTTTCAATCATGTGATCATGTTCGTTGATTGAAACAAACAAAAGCGATGTTTGGGCGCTTTGTGCGCCAAATTGTGTGCTTGATGACCAATCGACCTGGATGAAGTAATCAATGTACCACGCCCCTATGTTTGATTTATAAGGAGCAGGACTTGAGCGGGACACTCCCAATGCCCCTTTCAGTTGTTTCAACATTCAACTATGCGTATGTATTGACTGCATTTGACTAAACAGACGAAAGCCCGCTAATGACTTATTCAGTAATGCTTGTGGATGACGTCTGGATGAAAGTCATTCGCTTTATGGAAATCTTGGACATTGTGTGATGCTTTGCAGTCAGCAATCACTTCAAAAGTCTCTGTGGCAAAGTGATCAATGCCAGATTTAACCATGTACTTGAGCATGCTGTCGGCACTGAAAGCGGGTGTCTTCAGACCATGCTAGAGTCTACCAATTCTGTCCCCCTTGGCGGATCAGCACTCGACGTCATATTATATGGCACATCGCTGGTTTTGCCACATGAATTACGCATCGCGACGCCCTGCTATGCGCAACCAATCATCACTGCATTTTTCAATGATCTTGGCTTCACCACTGATCAGACACCCTCATTTTATACACCACCCTCGGCTATAGCTGTGTATGATCACGACTGCATTGAAAGAAGTGGGAAAAAGTGGTCTTGATTAACAGTCCGACAAATTCAGTCATGCCAGTTGTACTGGCTCATCATCCTTCAATGGACTGCATTTTTGCCTGCTCCGGTGGTCTTTTTTTGGGTTACCCCGAGCTTATGGACAACTACGTCACATTGTTCCCACTGGCTGATACACACTCGCACACCACTCAGTATTTCAGGGAACATGAGTACAAAGTGCAAATCTCTAACAGTTCTTGGACGTCACCTTGTGGAAGAAAATGCCCCACTCTCTGGCGCCACATGGAGGATAGTCTTCTTGTCACATGGCAGAAGGGAACGGTTCCTGTGGACATTATCAAAGGACAGGAGCTCCTATGGAGACTGAATAGCCTTTGTTCTAATGTGTCGTGCACCAACTTTATCTTCAGAGATCCTGATCCCAATGCTGGTGCTTGCGCTAAACACACTGTAGACCTTCGCATCACCGATTCACAAAGCCGAAATGTGAGTGTAACAGGCATACTATGTTGAGCAAGTTATTGATGATCGGCTAATTCACAATGCACAGGGCAGCTTGCCTTGTATCATGGGATTGCTATTTGGTGCAGCAATGACACGCCCTTGTGCCGTGCCTCTCTATCTTGATAAGGGACGTGTGACCATTACTAAAATCAGTGACCTCAATATGCATCCATTTGTTCGTAAAAGTGGTATGGAGCCTGCCAACATCATAGATTGCAGTGTGACAAGGCAAAAAATTGTGATGGGGAACTGTGTGTTCACCATCATTCGAGACCATGATCATTTGCTCGACACGATACCCTCTTTCTGTCATGTGGGGCCATTTTATGACAACAGAGGCAGATACATTCCACTCGCACCACCACAGGGCAACATGCTCGTTGTCATGCACGATCACGTTATGGCAGATATGCCACGCAACATTCGGACAAAAGAGTTCGCAGAGGTCGCACGATGCGTGATCAAGTACGTACTTAGCGCTCCTTCAACCAAAGATCTTTTTTTCATGCCTTTCACAGAGCTGATCAGGACAATATGTTGTTTGACAGCATCATGCACAAACATTGCTAAACCTGACAAGTTATCACATATTATGATGTATAGCCTTGGCCAAAATATGAATGAGTTAGTGTACAGCTTGATCTACCCAATTGTTCAAGGCATACAAAACAAAGTACAGGATTGGGAACACAAGGGGATGATTGAGCAAGCGGTGCACCTACGCGCCACTCCACCAAGAATGCAACAAACTGTAATAGCAAATAATCATTGCAAGATCATGTTGCAGAACATCAAACGTACCACACAAGGATGGCATCTACAAGCGCCTTATCATTGTAAGTCATGGACTGATAGGCGCGAAAGTCATGTCCTTTATGCTTCGCTACCAAAACATCGCCCAACCACTGTGTACCACAATGACAGGCGTGATCAGTGGCAAGGGCCTGATTGGGAGGAAGCAAAGCATTCCGCATGAAGTAGACCACACTGAATGCATTCGGAAACACGCTAGAGACTGAGCCCGGGAATCCACAGACAGAGAATATGGAAGGACGCATAGACCGATCAACAGCATGCTGGCCAGCACTGATCCACATGTGTACACGAACTGCACCATCAACGTCTTGTGGAACATAAGTCAGGACTGATTCGGCACAACCACTACCATAAAACAAAGCACGATGGTAAGTGCGACCGCCCTAAATTAATGGATGAGAAGCATCGTAAGACATAGATAAAATTGTTACAGGCTCATGTGTGAACATATGATTTTCAGTTGAATAGACATGATCAATGGGAGTGAGCTGGACGAGTCCCATGGTGACAACAACGGGCAGAGAATATGCTTGCTGAAATAGGGGAAATTCTGAAAATGACGAATACATGCTTACATATCTCAATAGAATCAAAAGGAGAACGAAGGCAATGACAACATGCTGGTGTACCTCGTGAGAAGCAATGCATCCTAGGGGCCTAAAGAGAAATTGCGCTGAGTATTTAAGGACTTATAAAACAGAGTAAACGTATTGACTCACAAACATGGCTGATGAACACACAGTCACCACTTGCCTAGTATCATTCGCACAGCATAACGGCTTTGTCAACCTACAAATCAATAACGGGCCACTGCACCATCGCGATGTTTTGTCGGCAGGAAAAATATTCTTTGCCCCAGATGTGCAACTAGTAGACGCAAGAGTGACCTTTGGCAGTGATGGTGGACCTGAGGACAAGCCTTTTGACATGGTAGTCTTATTCGACCGAGGGCTGCATGGTACCAAAGAATGTCCTTACCTCGCTTTAAAATTGATCGACAAGGAGAAGATCATCAATTTGGGCAGGGAAGACTATATGAATGTCATGAAATCTGTCGAGTAGTAAGCATCACTATATACCAAGAGTATAATCCCACACTGATGGCCCATAAATCACAGTGTCATAGCTAGAATACAACCTGCGGACAATGAGACAACCGAGTGCATGGCCACAAGAGAAGACAGCGGGTAAATGACCTAAGTATAACACGCATTGGCTCGACAAATCTGTATTTTGTAGAATATCAAGCGGAATTAATGGACAGATAAAAGCAGCACTGGCACACCAAGTAGTTACACGCTTGGCGGGTTGCAATCCAAACACAGTCACACATTAAATTCAGACTCCAAAATTAGGAGCACATACAAATATTTGGCGGGGAGGGAAGGAGGGGCTCACTTTCAATCTATAGCGTGAAGCCCACACAGGACTGTCCAATCAATCATATACGCATTGCAATATGCAACAAAACAACGGCTATATCGGCTTGCTCAGCGCGAAACTACAAAGATACATCATAGAGGAAATGCCGCTCGCCGACCTCATGAGTTTCAGTGGAACAAGGAAAGAAAATCGAAACGGAATCACAGATTACATGACAGTGCGACAGAGATCATTGTTCTGGCGCTATATGGACGATGTTGATGCTTTCATCGCATTGTTGGACAAGACAGGGAGCGTGGTATCTGGCTCCTGTGCACTGAGTCTTGTGCAGGCAGAATGAGGAGCAGTGGCTCCTAGAGACATGGATGTCTACATTACAGAGAAGTTTGAAACGGAGGTACTCAACCACTTCAAGGAGAAGGAGGGATATGAGTGTACGCAGGAAATGGTTACAAAAACCGAATATGAGAGCTCCACGATCTGCAAAATCCACAAACTAGTCAGAGGAGAAAAACAGGTCAATGTCATTGTGACTGACTGGAGATGCGCGCTTGCACCTATCCTGCAATTCCACTCCACCGCTGTTATGAACTACATCACGGCAAGCTCCATTGTATGCTTATATCCCCGCTGGACGACTACAAACAGAAGCTTAATCCACCCGCGGATATATCTGGAAAATTTAACTCACTTGAGTATGCTTTATGTATTGATGAAGTACAGAAGGCGAGGATTCAAAGTGAGTGCAGAGCCTTTCCAATTGGGAGATCACGTCTGTGGAGGGGGCCAGAACAATGCGAAGAAGAGCGGATACTGCCCCCATGCATTACGCAGTACAGTGGATGATGAAATTCTGAAGTGGAACTTCGGACCAACGCAGGTACTAGGAAATACTTCCATAATGTGCCAGGATATGCCCATCATGGTTTGGTGTCTCGGAGGGCACGAATGCGCGGAGGGCAACAAGGATGAAACAATTTCTTATATGTTAGTATCAGCTTGACGATAAACACAGAATAGAGTACTTAAACTGCAGTAGTGACAGCCAAAAAGGCAACGTGATGACAGCTAAATGACAACAGGGCATGGTTTGCTGACGAGAAATACCCCTCTTCAATGGACCGAAGCACATAAAAAGGTGAAGGAAAGGAAAGGGGAGAGAACCACACTCACTGATATTACCACAACCAACCAAATCCTGCACTCACAACGCTATCCCCCACGACCCACAACAATGGATGTTGACACCGCATGCTACGACAACCGCATTGAAGGTGGACTCTACGACGTCGTCATCCGTCAGCTCATGGCACTGCCCAAAGGGGTGTCTTTAGGTGATGCCACCTATAAAGACGACTTCATCCAAGACACCAGCATCCACACCGGAAACTTTACCTATAAATGTAAAGAAAATGGAGCTGAGTATGAGACTGTTCTGGTAGGAGAAATCTTACCTCGTCCTTGCGACACAAAGTTAAGTGCAATGGGCAACCACTACGTTGGCACTGCAGGCACTGTGAGTAAGATTTGCAGGCAGATTCAGTGATACTTACCGTCTTCAGTTAGCCGAATGTGATTGATGATAAGGCGAGGGTGAAAGGGGTGCTGGCCTTAGGAAAGCCAACACAGGCTACAGAGATGATGTACATCACTTTTGGAAACCAGATTGCCACGTTGGATGACATCATCCAAAGTGACATAGAAGAGCTGAAGAAGCAGAACAAGGACATGAACATCAAGGAGTGGACTGCGCATGGCGGATCCGACCAGACAGGGGTGCCAGAATATATCATTGTGAACACAGAACAGTTATATGCGGTAAGAACTCACCATCTCAAGAGTATGATGCTGAAGTATCACAGGTACCCAAGGCCATGCAACAGGCCATGCAAGGCAAGTGCGCAAGAGTAGCCAAAAAGGCGATCAGCAGCAGAGGCGAAAATCCGGACAACAAGGTCGGAGATATTTCTCCTACTGATACAGGTGCAAAGGAAAACACACATGAGGGCGCGGTCACGACAAATATGTTCTATGAACCTACGATGCTCCCAGATTATGGAGGAGATCTATTCCAACACATCAACGCCAAGCTCCGTCAACTCGATATCAGAGATGTCAACAACGAGCTGATCGCGCCTCAAGATTGGTACTCCAGCCTTAAACGTGGGACGCTTGTCATGGTCAGAGCAACTCTTCATGCATTCAACTGGAAGGAGCGTAGGGTGAGAATATCTGACCAAAAATTGACCAAGAACTCATGTTAACGACAATTCAGTTTATCAGCTAAACGCGCACACCATTCGGGTGATGGACCCCTCCAAGCTGGAGATGGAACCAGTAAGCTTCCAAGCCAACGGATCCGATTATGGCACAAGTGCGTCTACCTCGAAGTCACGTGCGTCAGATGCCATGGCAGGAGTGAAATTAGGAAAGAGAGAGCGAGAGGATTAGGCAACAAAGATCGGTTGGTCTGTGACATGTAACATGGAAGGTTGTATTTTTAGCAAAACATGTATGAGATGGCGTGATCTGAATGGTCGTGGCACTGTGAGAAAAAAAAACGGTAGCGGGCATTGCCACTTTAGCTGGCGCTATAACTTATTTGTTTCACCAGAAATGAACGTTAACGTTGAACGTAGCATGGCGGCATGTAACCCTAAGTACTGTGATGTGAATCTAATCAACATTTTCCACTGTAAGAGCACCCCGAGTCCATGCATGCCGCTAATGCCCGACGGACTACTTAGTACTAGTACGAGCTTGGCGGCAGGTTGACAGGAACTGTCTAGTTGCGAAAGCTCATCATGATGGGCCACCGAATTCTCATTAAACGATTTCTTGATGTGGTTCTTTTTCGCACCAGTTTATCATTATCTTCGACCGTTAGTTGACTCAAATATGAATCAGAAGGCACTGAGTACTGAGTACTGAGCTCTGAGCGCTGAGCCATGGGATGACTCCGACACGACACAAATGTGTCGGAGATCAATATTCGATGAGCAAGGCTTCAAGCTTAGCTTCGATGATTAGCGTCTATCCTTTCCTTTCACTACATAATGATATATTGGGCGTTTTAGCTACTTGCTTCAATAGTGCTCCAAGTTGCGAATCGCCACCAGCTGCGGAACTCCCAGCTTGGCTCTTCGTCCTTTTTCTACTCTGTTGTCATTCCAGTCCACATGCCAGGTCCTCGCGGAAAGACGAAGGCAAAAAAGCCAAAACCAATCGTTAATGTTCATTCCGTGACACGTGTCCCATCAGAGGAGTTCATCGGGTTGGTAGACGATATCGAGGGAGCTGAAGGATGGAACACGAGAGTCAAGGTACTGTGCGAGTTCCTCCAGTTACCGGGTGAGTATGCAGCATAGTCCGTCCCTTTGTTGGTTCGTTTCAAGCCCTAACTTTATTCCCAAAGATCTCTCTAGACGAAGTGGCTTGAAGAAAGTCCATGCCAACTTCAACGAAGTTTATCATAACATCGATGATGTCTACGTCGCAAATATAACAAACGAGAAAATCACCGGGGCAATCATCGGCATTTATACCAAGATGTGTGCCGATGCCATCCTCCGAGACAAGCTCTTTCAGAAAGGTACAGGTCGACCACACGGTTCTGTTGGTGAATTGCACTGACTATATTATAGGTTTGGTGTCTAAGATCACTCCTTTGATCAAGATTCCTTCCACGCGTTATCTTGCTCTCCGCGCACTTACTACCGTGACGCATCATGGGGGTGTCGATATTCGCAAAGAAATCTCACTCGAGTCCCCTTCCCTACTCAAGATCATACAAGAAAATCCAGATGATCTCAGGGCTGCCGAGATGGCGATTTCTACCATGGCTCATGCCATCGGCGCTGCAATCAACCAGGAAGATTCGCCGGCTCAAAAATACATCAAGGCGGCCAATATCAAAATTTTGATTCCAGTTGTAATAGATTTCATGCGCAAGCCTGGGGTTACCATTCAGCTCTTGCATCATGGTCTAGAATTGCTTACGCACCCTGTTCTCCACTGTTGGAGTGAATGCAAGACTTCTGCACCACTTCAGAATTTGCTTGTGGCTTGCCTGCGGAGTGCAGACCTTACCGTGCGTGTCAGCGCGCTGGGTGGCCTGCTTCGTCTCGAAGCCTTGTCTTCGGAGGAGGACCAGAGACATTTTGACCCTCAGAAGCTCATGACAGCAATCGAACGCCGTTTCCCTGACCATCTCGTTGATATCTTGACAGATTACGGCTCAATGCGCTGTGATACATTTCTTACTATGGCTTCGACCGCCGACAATCAAAAGGCGATGATGAAGTGTGCGCAGGACAAGGATCTTTATAGTCTTGGTCTAAAGCTCGCAGAACTTATCACCAGAACCGAGTTCTCTATCGCAGAAGGCGGCTTCCAGATGCAAGATCCCCGTACTGGAAAGATAGAAATCAACAGGGACATAGGTCTACCATTCATCATGTGGTCCGATGCACTGCCCCATTGCGCTAGAGCCATCCGTGCAAAGGGTCGTTCGGGAGAGGAAGATCTTGCAGATATGATTACCGCAAAGTTTTTCATTATCAGATCTCGCATCCCCGACGCCATCGAAGCTGCAAAGCGCGGTCTTCAACGCAACCCCAAATTCGCATACTTCTACTATGTGATCACGTTGGGTAAAGACCACTACGAGGGCTTGCGTTCTGCGAAGAAAGGCTTGAAGTGCCCGAAGATGACGCCGTTCGTACGCTTTGGACTCTTACATCGTGCTGTCGAGCTCGCAGGCAATCTGGGAGTATGTCGCATTCAGGAATCCAGCCCAGGAGATAGGAAATATGATGAGGGTGTTGCATTCCTTATGAGCGCGATGGAGGACGCAAAGGTTTACGCCACGGAGGCTCCCCCAGATGCAAGACACATGAAGAACGTGCTATACTGGTACATCTGTCTCACTCTTACCATCAAGGGACCAGATACACCAGCAGACCTTCAAGAGCTTCAGGTATGTCCACCGGCTTTGGCATTCAACGGTGTCTCTACAACCGAGCACAGGTCGCATTGAAGAAGTTGGGGTATGCCGACGAATTTAGCGTACTCCTGGGCACTATTCCCCCGAAAACGCAATTGCGTCTGACCCAGCAAAACATCGTCAAGCGCTACCCCACTGCTGTGGAAGAGTGGAAGGATCTGATTGCACGCTTTGACGAGGTGATGATGGACGAACGCCCCATCTCATTAGAGAAAGCTGAAGATGATCTTGCTGCGTGGCTTGACGACCTCCACATTGATCAGGGAGAGGAAGACGAATGTCAGCCACAGAGATGTTCGCATCCACGGGTCAGCCCGAACACCGTGGCGTTGTACAGGTGTTCGTGGTGCGGCAATCCCAGTGCTGCGCTGAGGAAGTGCAGTGGTTGTGAGAAAGCGAGGTAACTGGTTTATTTACTCTTGTCATAGGCGGATGTTTGACCAGTAATTCTCCAGGTATTGCGATGGTGGGTGCCAAAAGTCACATTGGTCTGAGCACAAGGCCATATGCAGGACGTCAATGGCCTGAAATATCCTGTCAATCTTCATTCTTGTTGTCATACCCGTTTCACGATCCGTCCCTCTTTGAACCGTTCCTCGTGCCCATCGCTCGAAATTCTTATCCCTCTCTGATTGCATTCCTGAATCCTCAGTAACTGCGATGAGGGTGGGTATGATTACTCAAAGTACTCTTGATGTTCCTGTATTGGTACAGTAAAATATGTATTATCATACACACGATTCGACTGCAATAACAACTTGTCCTCATGCCTTAAGTTCTTCGCCTTTTGTTCGACTTGCTCGCTTCATACGCATCCTCTCTCCTGTCCTCGACTCTTTTCAAAAAGTTCATCTTTTCCAAGTAACCACCTCCGCGTCGGTTAGCATCAAGTTCGTCCTTAATTTCACTCGACGTGACATGTGTGCGCCAGTCCATTGCAGATTTATCCAGAGTAGTAATCTTCTTGGCCTTCTGACTCGGTATGTCCGCTAGCGACGTGCGGGGCTTACGAGGACCTAGAGGTTTCCTTGTGGCAGATTTCTGTGCTGTAGGTTGTATGGGAGCTGCTGAACTCGATGCCGACGCGTTCACATCGGTGGTTGAAGACGAAGAATCAGGGGTTGGTGCAGCAGCAGACAACAACTCTGATGGATCCCACCGTGGCCACTTCTTCGCTTCTTCCGAGTCCTCGGGGACTTCAACCACTTCTCTTCACATCACTAAGCACACTGTAACAAGGAATGAGTGGGAGGACATACACTATATTCTTCCCTGCGAAAAGGTATCGTTTCTCGATCTTCACGAGCTTCTTTGGCGGTTCCTCAACCTTTGGAGGCGGTGGCGTGGTGACAGACGCCTGGAAACTGGCCCATAGAGCATCACGCGCACTATAGAGTAGGGTAAATATATTGAACCCACAGGGTCACCCGACACACCTCACTTTTTCTTCTCGACTAGATCTTCCTCTTTCACTTCATTGGCCACATTAGTTTCATCATTTCCTTCTTCATCTCCAGAGCTATCCGAGTCTAGTGTATTTGGTTAGATGAGAATATCCTCGATAGGTTAACCTGTTAACATACCTTGGTGTTCGGGAGGCGCGTAGTCCGGGTCATCGTCTTCGGAGTCAGATGTTGGATCGCGCAGTGGAGGAGACATTGTGTGGTGTTGTTTGATGTTGTTACATTTGGAGGTGTTCGAGAATGGTCGTCCGACGTCAACAAACATCAAACACCTCTTATGGCCACCCATCCATATTAACTCTTCAATAGCATGGCGGGTTATGTGGCGGCTAAGAGAGGTCATCGACTTGACCAATGGATAATCTCGCTTAACCGCATACATATACCAGTACTGCGTTTTCTTAAAGATTGCCTCGACACCCGGAGATCTTAATGGTAATCGCTGTTCTAGAGTGAATAGATAACTTAATCGCGCGCATACAGTGTACGATTTCCCTCGAAGGTTCTTGAGATCTTCCGACAAAGTAATGTACTGAAATGATGATTGAACCACTGACATAGCACCTCGATAACATAGTCAAAACTCGAAAACGACACAAAAACCATGTTGCCGCTACGCATGAGACCCGCCTGTGTAACAATCCTCATTTGTGTTTCCCTACGATGACAAAGGGACCACGAATCAGAACAAAACAATCGGATCGAGCGGCCAGTTACTCACCTGCGCCATTAGGCTTACCCCCCGCGCCTCCTTTGTTTTCAGTGGTGCCAGACCCAGCCTGTTGGGAGGGAGTCCCGTTCGGTTCAGCCGACGGTTTCTCATCTTTTGGAGGAGCTTGTGGCTTCTTGCCATCAGCCTTCGTCGTTGAGCCATTAGGTGAAAGTGGGTCCGTAGATACGTGCAAAGGATCAGATGGCTTGTGTGTTGTTGAATCAAAACCATTCGAGCCAAAGCCATTCATTCCGCTGAAACTGCCGAAACCGTTGAATGCACCAGACGAGTTTCTTGAGTGTCGACCTGCCGACATCTGTCTCGGCGGAATGCCAAACACCTCCCTTACCATATCCTCCATCTGCTCATCCTCAAAATCGTCGAAAGTAGGCGAGCGAATGCCGCTCTCCGCGGCTTGCTGCCGAGCACGCTCACGTGCATCCGCAAGGCGGAGGACGGTTTCCATTCCGAGCGGCATGCCCTCTGCGAGAGTCAGAGGCTTTTCACGTTTGCACATCGCGATGTATGCAGGGAGAAGGAGGGTTTTGTTGATATTATGTTCGTGATATGCCACGATCTTTTCGATCGGCTCAATTGGGAGTTTCTCGAGCTCGCGAATAGCGAGGTCTTTGATGTTGCAGAAGCTCCATCGATGGGCGAGCCTTAGGATGCTCAACCACGTCTCAAAGGGAGCATCGTAGACCGAATATTGGCTGGAATTACATGTGAGTAGGGACAATAACTCAGAGGTTGCACATACGGGTTGTAGATCACCCAGAGGAAGCGCTCAAAGTCTTCGCTCTTGACGTCGTCGAGGGTGAAAGGACTCGGAGCATCAGCTGTGCCGTGTTCCCCGCCATTGGGAGGGGCATCTAGCATCTGCCGCCATACCAATGATTCACGGTAGAAGAAGAAACTGTGTATACGGTAGAGATGGTTCCCGATCTGCAACGTTCGCCCCAGATCAGAATGGACGGACTGAGGAATACTCTGGGACTCACCAACACACTCATGTCCCCACCACGCAAGTAATAATCCTTGTGATTGATCACACGGCCTACGCTGCGATCTTGTGAGGAGCTCATGATGGAAGATGGAAGATGGGATATGGAAGAATGGAATGGTTGCTCGAAGTTGAGAGGGTACTACTACGTATATATGCTCTCAATTCAATTCCAGATCATCGGATGACCTATCATAACATGCGTCTTTCATGATGCGCGTTGTCATCTACGCCCTCAGGCTTCCATTTGATCACCAGCATGGTTTGCATGAGGCATGATGCACATTCGTGGCTGTCCAATCGTCGACTGCCAGTAAATTGAGGTAAGTCGCTTGTCTGCATTACTGCGAGTCTGCGACGACGGTCCTGCAATTTTTTTTTGTCAAGGCCTATTTGCGCTAATCGGCGCCGACCAATGCCCATCAGAGCGGGGAACTGACTATTTCGGACCATCATTTCGCCATCCAGTCGCCGCAAGGCTTCTACACCGCCCATATTTGATATTACAATCACGTTCACTTCACAAGAGGATGCGGGCGATCCACTTCAAGTTGCCTCAAGGCTATCAGGGGTTTGGGTCCGCAGTACTTGCTCCAAGCGCTCAAGAAGCATCAAGCGAAACGCAGTGTCTTACGAGAGGCGCTCGACCTCTAACCATACTTGCTCGCTGGCGAGGTCGCTGACCGGGAACCGGAAGGCAATGTAGGCAATATCGGTGTAAGACATCCTCCGCATAACATAAAACACATTTATGGCACTCTCTCCCAATCCTCCATCCCACAGCCATATTGGATCCTGCGGGAAGTACCGACGTTAGCTGGTGTCATCAGACTGCAGGGCTATGGTCGAACATCCCTGAATGTTTCACCCATTTGAAATGATCCAGCAGTACTTGCGTTGGAAATTCACCACCAGAGTTCAACAATTCACGAGTGTTTTCAAGTATTTCGTACAGGACAATTTGCACCACAACCGAGTCCTAAATCATCCCCTAACTCTGAGAACCTTCCGTTTACCTTTTTGTATACCCGGTTGGCCTGGAGCAGGCTCCTGCACCTGGCTCCTGCGCACTCATACCAGCTTTAACGGTCTCGATGAGCATTCCCGTGGGTAAAGCTGGTGAGTAAGGAGATACTCGGCTTGCCAAAGCTGGCAGAGGTTGTGGAGGTGTAGGCAAGCGCTGTTGACTTGACTTGGAAAGCTGGACGGCAACACCAGAACCCGCTTTGGACTTCTGCTTGCCTTTCGCGGACGTGGGAGGTTTGACCGCTGGCTGAGCGGCAGACACTGGGGGCGGGGTCATTACGTATGGTGGGCGGGGAATATTATCTTGTTTTATCCGTTGGATCTGGAAGGATATCATCTCCAGCAGCTGTTTTTCTGATCATATTTGAGTTATCAGAGAAGATTATCGCAGAATGAATTCACGCACTCGTTTTGATCGCGGGGTTCATCAGCCGCCCATCTTTCTTCCACTGCACGCGTACACGGCCAGGGTTTTCCCAGTCTCTAGGATGAGATTTCTGCACTTCGTGCAAGGTGCCTAATCCAAGCCGGCTAGTCGCATCGGCGATATCCTTGCTCAAAGGCCACCAAACGCTCTTTTCGCGCGCTATCCGGCGCTCACCCGTCCCATATGGCCGTTTTGCATCGATATAGATAGGGTAGATGCACGTCCATCTAATAAATTCTTAGCAAGCGAAGGACAGTTATATGGATAACGTACTTCTTATAAGGCGTGATGTCAGTGATAGTATTGGATGGTTGACCTTGCGATTGACCAGACGATGTTGGGGCGTGAAATTGTGATTGTGATTGTGATGCTTGGCCTAGCGCAGACATATCGTCTGATTCGGACTCGCTGTCCTCATTCGTCGGAATGCCCTATCTCTTTGAGTAGGGGCCCACGCGGCCCAGTATTGAGTGGACGCGATGGGAGCGGAAGTTCAGTGTCATCATCGAATTCTTCGATTACTGCTGTGCGACGAGACATGTTTAACCTGCAGAACCTATCCTATTAGTGGAATTTGGCACTGTAATGGCTTGGAAGGTTGTACTTACGGCGTCGACTAAGTATGAGGCAAGGAAGAGAGGATTTCTCACGCCTACTCACATTCATGCTTTCACGATGTTGCATACGGCGGCGGCGAGCACAGTCATGAAGCTCATTTTGTAGGTATTTCTTAACCCTGAATATCATAACATATCTAACTTATGGATTGCAGCTTTGTGCTTTTATGTGTCGTGAATATTATTCAGGCCCAACACGTTGATCCGAGACAGACTCAAAACCGGACTGTCACTTGTCGCCCATTTGGTGCATGTGAACCATGTCCGGTAGATGCTGTATGTTTTCTGACGTATGAATGTGCTGGACGGATATTTAACAGAACTGTAGCTTCATGAACCCTTCTGTCATCCATTCGGCAACCGACAACTCATGCATTGTTCGAACACGACCACACCTACAACGAGACCCCCTGATGAACCGTACCCTATATCTCCACCCCCAGGAGCTCTCGGGAGAGACTCCTGCATGGCAGCCTTGCGGCCGCGTTCCCGCAAAAGAGCGTGCGGATTTTTACGAATTCGTGGCGTGCAACCTGTTTTTCGCTACCGTCGCCATAGCCATTTCCCTATTTCGCTCTCGAAGAGTCGAGGCACACCAGGCCAGACGTATTGCTGTACGAATCGGACTTGTTAGAGGTGGTGGATAGGATCGTGGTCGAGACTTTGCCTCGAGGCAGCCTGTTCGGTTTCATGTTCATGGCTGAGGAGGGATGCTGTGTTCGTTATGAACTCGGACGACAAACATGCTGATTGCTGCAGGCAGCTGAGAAAACGGGGTACAACACAGTTAGATGTGCGGAGTCCTCGCGTTGGCGCTTCTTTCTTACCCGTATTTTGACAACATGTTCGCAGCGCGTCTCGAATATGTTGTATTGACGGTGATTAGATGATGCTGGTGATTGGTGGGCGCGGTCTTCTCACTTGGCCTTCATGCTGAACCTTGTCGTTCAGGGTTTGCGCCGTGTAATTTTTGCGAACACCGAGGGATAGCTCTTGTGAAGGGTGTAGACAGTGAGAACTATTGTACACTATGTCCCCGACTCTCACGACTAGAAATATTCATATGTTGACATGTAGAATTTACACTGGATCTGATCGATGGGCATCGCGAAGTGTAGCTGGACGACAACAATGGATGGAATACATACATACGTTAATAACTCAAGTGACTGCTGTGTGATGGACTCTAAGTCTCGACTGCCCTGCAACCGATCATTCGATTCAGAACGACGGCGACCTAGTACGCGAGCGTTGTGAAAGCTTCCTTAGTAAAACTCATTTCCGTCAGCGAAGACCATTTATTGAGATTTATCACCATGATGATCGCGTACAGTCGTGCTGAGCTACGTAGCATTAGCAGGGCAGAATCGAAGATATTGATTGTTGTATCTGATGTTGGGTCAGCGGCCACTGGAGACTAGTAAGAAGTTCTGCCTAATAGATAGACTTTTTTCTATGGCAAATTCTCGCTCCTGTCCATCAGTGATGATGGCGTTATTAATAGCTCAACGGACTGAAATCGGAGAACGTGCTCACGTCATGATCACAAGTTGTCGTGCCTTGGAGACCTTTGGCACATATCGAGTCCGACAGCTACGTAGCCTAGCAGTAGAGCCCGTGGTAGAGACTTGACCCCGACATTCGAGCAGGTACCTAATCAGTGATCACGAACAGCCAGCGCATGTCACATCTGCTCGAATGATGCTTTTTTAGAGATCAGGTGTGCATCAAACCTTATAGGGTCATCTCGATTCCTGGAAATAGAAAAAACAACACCTTCTCCGAGTCACCAATGCATTGGACCCGTGAAGACGAAGCTTTGGTCCTTGGGCGCATTTAAAATAACTCAACGGACTGAACTCGGGAGTCGGAGGACGTGCTCACGCCATGGTCACAGGTTGTCGTGCCTCGGAGACCCCTGGCACATGTCGAGCCCGTAGCCTAGCAGTGGCAGAGACTTGACCTCGACATTCGGGCAAACACCGAATCAGTGATCGCGAACCGCCAGCGCATCTGTTTGAATGATGATTTTTGTAGAGATCTGATTGAACCAGGTGTACACCAAAGGGTCATCTCGATTCCTGGAAATAAAGAAGCAGCGCCTTCTCCGAGTCACATTGGACCCGTAAAGACGAAGCTTTGTCAATGGTCCTTTGGCATGGATTGGGCCGCATCTGCCATTTATCAATGGACAAAAAGTCTGCGGTCACAAGTATGATCACGAAATGAATTGATCGATCCTCGGTGGATACTAGTTCCTGTGGCCAGTTAAAAGTTAAGCGTTAGTGCTGATCAATCGATTGGGAAGGATCTTCAAGTTACCAAGTGGACAAGGCTACCAATGAACAATGCCCAAGTGTTTAGCGTGAGAAAAAGCGCTCATAGGGTGACCACTGTCTGACCATGTGCATAATGAACAAAAGAAGAACAAAAGTGCGTGTAATTTAGGTCTAGTGGTGCCGCATTGATCATGCACGATATGAAAGTCCAGTCCACACGTTGTTTCAAAACTACAAAAAGGCCGTCTGCCTGTCTACTCGTTCTTTACTTTCCCCGTCTGATTTTCAACTGCTTCAAGGCCTGGTCCTGATTGCAATTAGTGCTCTAGCTAGCACCTATTCACAACTTTCGCTTTCAAGTTCATTCACTCACTGTCGACGTCCATCTTTTTTAAAACTTTTGATCATCATGAAATTTTCTCTGGCGATAGCTTCTCTGCTGGCGCTGCCGTTTGCAGCTGCCGCCCCAACTTGCTCTCTCAAATCTTCATCTGCTGCTAGTGCCACCACACCTACATCGACTGCCACTACACCTTCCTCGACTGCTACCTCCCCAGGGTCTACTTCCACGCCTGCGAACCCTGGCAATGGCTCTATCGCAATGGCTTGGTTTGCTAACTGGCACACCGACTACACGGTTGCCGACATTACGTGGAAGGGCTTCAACAGAATAGCTTACTTCGGGTGAGTTTAATTACCCCTCGAAATCATTATGCAAACTTTTCTCACTTTGGTATACAGAGCTATCACCTCCGCTAATGGTGCCGCTACAATGACTGTCGGTGACAGCGATCCTAGCGGCCCTGTCACCTTCGTCACTGCCGCCAAGCAAAATGTATGATTGTACTTTCTTTTTGTGGCCGATGGTTGGCTTACTAGACAACAGAACGTTGTCCCTGTATTGACTGTTGGTGGTTGGGATGGTTCCATATATTTCTCATCGTCTATGTCCACCTCAAGCAACCGTACGACTTTCGTCCAGTCGATCGTCAGCATGGTGAACCAGTATGGCTTCGAAGGTGTTGAGTTCGAGTATGTATATTTAATTTGACACGGTTATTCTCGTTGACATTTTTACAGCTGGGAGTACCCTGGTAGCACCAACGGTCTTTCTTGCAACACACAGTCGTCTCAGGATACTGCCAATCTTCTGTCTACGCTCCAGGAACTGAAGACAGCGTTGCCGAATGTCTCTTTCTCTGCTGCTACCCCTGTTAACCCATGGAACGATGCTACTGGGACCCCATCGACTGACCTATCCAGTTTTGCCCAGGTTTTGGATTACATTGGTTAGTAGATTGGTCAATGCTTGCCGTTATAGTCGTTAATATTTCTGCAGAAATCATGAACTACGACGTGTACGGCGACACTTTCAGCAAGGTTGTGGGCCCCAACTCTCCTTTAGACGACTCCTGTGCTCCAACTGCTGACCAAACTGGCTCTGCGACTTCCGCCGTCAAGCTCTGGACTGCCGCAGGGTTCTCTGCTAAACAGATCATTCTTGGTGTACCTAGCTACGGACACGGCTACTCCATTAGCCAATCTGCAGCTGTCCAGAATAACAACACGTTGGCCTCATACCCCAGTTTTAACACCAACAACCCCGTCACCGGTGACAGCTGGGATGCTGCCGGTCCAGACGCTTGCGGCGTTAATCAACCTGCTTCCGGGGACTTCAACTTCTGGGGACTCATTAATGCCGGTTTCCTGAACCAGGACGGTAGTGTTGCTTCCGGTATGATCAGCACCTTCAACAACTGCAGCCAGACGGTACGTAATCCTTGTCCGCGATTTTTTCACCGGTCTAATTCTTGTTTTTGTTAGCCCTACGTCTACAACCCTAACACACAAGTCATGGTAGCCTATGACAACGCCCAATCCTTCAGTACGTTTTTTCGCTCTAAGCAGATGGAATTTATCTGATTTGCCTGCAGCCGCGAAGGGCAACTTCATTACACAGTCTGGCCTGGCTGGTTTCGCCCTGTGGGAGATGGGCGGCGACTACAACAACATTCTTTTGAACGCCATCAATGGAGCTATCTCTGGCTCGTCATGATTACCACCCTGCGATGATTGATTCATCCGCATCTCACACTGACGCTACTCACCATACCAAATATTGTACAGCACTGCGGTGGATCCGCTCAAGTTGCCCAGAGTTTTGATATTACCTGCTGGGATCGGGGTCATCTGGAATGCCATGTTACGGGCTTATATTCGCATTTGTATTACTTGCTCAACATGCATCATTTGTTGTACTCGGTGTATCTTATATACTAACATCTGCTATGAAATGCTACTTGGTTTGTGGAAAGATATAACTTACGTCGGCCGGCTGGGCTACTGGTTCGCCTCAAGTTTGTACTACGCGTCCGACTGTAATAGAAGTGCTCACTCCCATAACCAGCTTACCAGCGAGCACTGAGACCGATCGAAACAAGTATCCGATCTCGAGCGGCCCATACACTTTGCCGCAATCTCCACCACTATCGTGGCTACTTTGGAGTGTAGAGTGGTCTCGGTGCTCAGCTCATTACGGTCCAGCACATTTTGGCCAGCTTGACGCCAGGGCGTCGTTTCAGGAATCAAGATTAGCCTGGCTTCAAGCGGTCGACATTTGAGTACAAGTCGCAAGTTCAAGTGCGTCATCCCTCGAGATAAGTTACAATCTATTGGCCTTGGTCCTTCAAGTTGAGTCAACCGTGGACTCAGCCCAGAGCTGCAGCGGGTACCTACTGGCAAACCTGCACAGTATAGCAATATCATGGGATACCACTGGATGATTAATATAAGAGTGCGACATGCTGGATCCACACACAGTGACCACCCATGACTGCAAGAGTACCATCAGATATCTCTCGTGGTTACTGGAGTCGGATGAACAAGAAAAGGGTAAGCTTCAGATGCACTCAGGCTATTAGACGTACAAGTGACGCAGGAGCACCTTTTTGCGGTGCATATTCTTGTTCACGACAAGCCAGAGGGCTACGCAGAGTCCAGACTCCCCAACTGGCAGAATCCCACTGCAGATTGAGATGGAATATCTATAGGACATCATCACTTGCGAGCGTGGAAGGAACAACTTTGGAACAACTGTCTTCATTCGTCTATCATAATCGATGTCGTACTGGGAAAGATTAATTATGGTCTTCATCACATGCGAACTTTCCATATCTACTTTTTGAATTTTTGGTGATGACTATTTGGCATGGCATGCATGTACCCTTACTACTAGAACCAAGTAAGCGCTCGCTGTGTTAACGGCGGCCTTGTCCCGATACCGGTTCCACCAGTACCCTCTAATACCGGTGAGCCTTTCTTAGCACTGAAAAAATCCATCTAGCCGGTCTCGGACAGCTCTTAAGCTTTGCAATCTCCTTGTTGATCGTTTCGCTACTCACTGGTAGCTCATTACCGTCCACAAGCCAACATACATACTGGACGGCCTGACGCTAGAACATCCCTGCACTCCTTCAAGTCTTCCCTCGAAATATAGATCATCCCTATGATTTCAGACCCTACTGTCCAACCAAAAACTAGTATTTCTTCGGGAGCCGAGTTGCCCAGAAGTTCCATCTTACATCTTATCAACATTCATCAATGGATCAATGTCGGTTTACATCTTGTATCCTCTCTCGGCTCTCTGACCTCGTCAACAGTTCCTGGTGATCATCGATCATCTGAAGGAATTTGGGAGAAGCTGTCTCAAATTGCAGTTAAGGGTGCTGCATATGACTCCCGTGAACGCCAGCCCCATCCAAAATGTTTGGAAGGGACCCGGACGGTCCTTCTCAACCACATCCACGACTCTTTAGACAACCGAGAACATGGTAGTCGACTCATTTGGCTGCACGGGTACCGCGGGCGTCGGAAAGTCTGCTGTTGCGTTCACTGTAGCTGAAAGAATGAGAGGGATGGCGGTGACAGGGTGTACGACGAAAGAAAAGCGGCTTGCGGGATCCTTCTTTTTCTCGCGCAATGAACACAAAACGCTCTACCACTGAATATTTTTTTGCGACGCTTGTCTACCAGCTTGCCAGGAATTTTCCCAGCATCCGCGAGGATGTAATCAGAGCTATCCGCGAAGATCCCGCAGTTCTCGACCCAGACACATCCCTTCACAATCAGATGGAAACACTCTTTCTCCGACCTCTTCAAAACCTTCGATTCAGACTGCGTGACAGCGCACCTTTGGCCTTTATCGTTGATGCCCTTGACGAATGCACATCCAAAACCGATCTCGCTGATCTCATCTCCCTACTTGGCAAGGCTCTTCGTGAACCTGACCTTCCCGCGGTCCAGATCCTGCTCACGAGTCGCTCGGAAGCACATATCTGTGAAGCGATGCGCGAAGAAAAGGTACACCCGCTGATCTGCGAAATACCAGTGAAAACATCTGGGGAAGGAGTTGCTCCCATCATCTCGTTAGACGGCGCAGACGTCGACCATGACATCTATATCTTCCTGGAGCATTCCTTCACAAAGCTTCAAGGTCACATTTCTAATTTCCCACGCCCAACGCCAGATGAACTTGCGCGGCTGGCGAGCCGAGCTGGCAGACGTTTCATTGTGGCGTCTACGATGATGAAGTTCATCGATGATGGATACAATAATCCCCGCAATCGGCTTCAGCTCATGCTCGACCTAACGAGTGAACTACTGCCAGGAACGGAGGTGTATGAACTATACAACCGGATTCTCCTGACATGTGCAGACCCCAAGCGGGCATACATGCATTTATCTGTGGTTGCTGCTCTTGCGGAGCCTATGTCGATCTCGCAAATCTCTGAACTTCTTGGCCCTGGTCAGGGCAAGGATGTCGAGTTGGTTCTAATGCAGCTACGGTCTGTCATGGATATCCCTGCCGATACCAATCTCCCCGTGAATATCTATCACTCGTCCCTTCGTGACTATGTTTCCAACCCTTCAAATTGCAGCCTCCCTCAAGTGCACTCTTTACTCGCACAATCCTCCTTCCTCTTGATGATGCAGGAGATTCCAAAAAGCTCGGCTCTCCTGGATGCGCTCTCAGGCATAAAGAAGCAGAGCCGAGCTATGGAACTCGACGACCCCCACAGGTTAAAAGACTTATTAGCCTTTATTGTCCAACCCCCGGAGCCATTGCAAGTTCTTAGGGGTCTGGTATGGCTCCGGGGAGATCGCTCTTTGGTTTTATCCTGGCTAGGGACCTTGGACGGGCATGCCTGGTTGCAGACCCAAGGAGGGAAAGACTGGCTGCTGACCAAGGAGGGAAAAGCCTGGCTACAGACCGGTGGTGGAAAGGGTTGGTTGATGACCGAGAGAGGGCGATCGTGGCTGCAGACTGTGGCTGCAGACCCGACAAAGCAGGAGTGGCTCGAGACCAGGCATGTGCGAGGGTTGCTGGAGCCACAGATTGTGCGGGGGCAGCTGGAGAATATTCGCCAGGGAGATTGGTTTCGAACTTTGGGCGAGCGAAGATGGTTGCAGACTTCGAATGGGCAAACCTGGCTACAGACCCGGAGCGGACACGCCTGGCTGCAAACTCGGCGCGGGCAGAATTGGGCACAGACCTCCGACGGGCGAGTATGGCTGTGCACTCAAAGCGGGCGAGAGTGGTTGCGGACCCCTAACGGACGAGAGTGGTTACAAACATCAATTGGGCGAGAGTGGTTAGAGACCCAGAGTGGATTAGGGCAGGGGATTCAGAGCGAGTGGCTGTGGACTCAGAGCGGACAAGACTGGCTGCGAACCCGGAACGGGCGAGAGTGGCTGCTGACAGAGAGTGGGCAAGATTTGCTGGAGACCCAACGGGGCCGAGAGTGGCTGGAGACCTGGCGCGGCCGAGAGTGGCTGCACAATACGACTGGGCGAACTTGGCTGGTGACACAGAGTGGTCAAGAGTGGCTACAGACACAGAGTGGCCGAGACTGGTTACAGACACAAAGCGGGCAAGACTGGCTACAGACCTGGCGCGGGCGAGATTGGTTACAGACCCAGGGAGGGAACGAGTGGCTGCAGACTGGTGGCGGGCAAGACTGGCTGCAGACTCGGAGCGGGCGAGGCTGGCTGCATATCCAAGGCGGGCAAGAGTGGCTGCAGACCTGGGGCGGGCGAGAGTGGCTGCAGAACTCGGGCGGGCAAGACTGGTTGCAGACCCAAAGCGGACAAGATTGGCTGCACATCCCGGGTGGGCGAGAGTGGCTGCAGACCAAGAGTGGAAAAGATTGGCTACAGAACACGAGCGGGCAAGACTGGCTGCAGACCTCGCGCGGCAGAGATTGGCTGCAGACCCCAGGCGGGCTAGAGTGGCTGCAGACACAGAACGGGCAAGACTGGCTGCAGACACAGAGCGGGCGAGATTGGCTGCAGATCGAGAGCGGGAAAAACTGGCTGCAGACTCAGAGCGCACGAGAGTGGCTGCAGACCCGGAGCGGGCGAGAGTGGCTACAGACGCCCGATGGTCAAGCATGGCAGTCGACCCCTGCGGCATCTGTCTTGGTAACAATGGAAGAATTCTCGAGCACGCTGGAAGCACTCAACGAGTACACGATCATCCCAGAATTACCTTTACTGCCAGCCTTTCAAGCAATTCAGCAGTTCAAAAGCTTGCCGGATTTCTTGATGTTTCCAGCAGCCCCTAGCATTAAGGCGCGTTGCACTGCCACGAAATCTATCTTTACTAGGCAAGCCTTTTTCACCACACGCGGACATCTTCCATGCAATGCAGCACTTTGTGGCGTTTGCAAATGGGGCACGGGAGCGAAGTCGATCATCTTCCCACGTTCTCAAGTATGCATGCCAATACTGGGCGTTCCATCTTGCGCAAGCTCCAAATCTGTGGGACGACACTCTCCACCACTTATTTGAGTCTTTCTGGAACCGCACGCTTCTCTCCTGGCTCGAAAGACAGTGGTGTTTGAACGGTCTGCGGTCTTGCCTCGTCATTTTGTCGGAAGCACAGAAACTTGCAAAGGTGTGTAATTCCAATGATTCTGAATCTTGCGACTCAGCACCTGACCTGTGCACACAGGAACATCTTCATCACGCTTCAGAGTCATCTCAGGCTTCAGTTTGAAGCTGTTACTTTGAAGCAAGATATCACTGTCTCATTATCTCACAGATCTTTTCTTTTCTTTTTATTGTTTACCGCAATCATGAAATACATAATAAAACCATTTCTTTTGTGAACAATTCTTGCACCTATTGTACAGTTATGTATGATGAAATGTAGCAACGCACAGCGTCCATCCTCGGCTCTTCATTTTCGACTTGGATGTCACCTCGACTTCTAGTATAAGACACAGACAGGTCGGGGACAAGGTCGTAGTCATCTACTTAGATTCGCAAAGCACTGCCATGGCATAAATACAACACTTCAGTACAACTCATATAAGATATATTCCATGATGGTAATATGAAAACCCAGGCTACCATCTTCTTTCGCAACTTCCTAATCGATCGTCGCTCGCTAGCTAGCTACTCTTGATACTGGTGCCCTCTTCGGCGTAATGGACACTTGCGCCTTTAGCTTCATCCTTCGACTTCATCCCCCTAGTCTGCACCCTGATCTGTCTTGAGGTTATCCCCTTCTGTAAAGAAAACGACGTCATGGTATTTGTGCTGCTACCCATCGGTGCCATGATGATACTCGTGAAGACTCCATTGGATGCGAATGACTGGTCGTGGTCGAATGTGTCTTTTGAGTATACGCGGTATAAGAAGGTCACGATCACCAGGAGATTGCAGATGGTGAGACTGAGGGCTGCCTAATTTCGGTCACATTTTGCAAAGCAGTGAGGACGGAAGAATGCTTACCTTGATGTGCGCAACCATGAGCGTAGTTGTGTTAAAGATTCCGAGGATGAGGAGTATAGAGTGAGGGATTGTGACGGCGGTAATTAGAAGCGATGCGCAAAATGCACATTGCACCAGTAATTTTCTGCTACGCAAAAGGCCTACGTTTTTCAAAAGATAAAGCGGCGCGGCAACGAGGGAAACATCCGCCGCGATGTCCGCTAAATTACCAATGATCTGAGAACCATAGCACCCAAAGAAAGTACATAGGTACTGACTGGTCAAAATCGAGAGCGCCACCGACTTGCCCAGGCGGCAGGAGTCGAATTTGCAGATACTGATCTTCTGAACGAGCAGCGCGGCCCACATACACGCAAAGGATACTGCGATGAGACGAGTAATCTGTTTGTGGATCTTGGATCCCGAGTGGTTGGCGACGGGGATGATCGAGAAAATGATGCTCATGCGCGCAGCCCTGAACTAGTCAGTTAGAAATGTAACCGAGTGGGCTATGATGCGCACCACAGCACACTGGTAAAAGCGATTGCGAGAATCCATGCTGGGAGTGGTATGGATATGACTTATTATATGCGAAGTCAAGTACTACTCACTACTTATCGCTTCGTCGATCCAGATACATGCCAGGCAAACAACTGAGGGGATGTATGTGGTTGGTTTACTGTCCAAGGCAACGTACAAGGAAAATTCTACCGTCTGCGACCAACGCAAATGCCGCCCATGCATCTTCCCACCATAACTGATGCATCCGGCCTCTGTAAACGAGCCTGAAGATGGTGCAGATGATGGCAATACTGTGCGATACCGACCCCACGACTTTCCGGATGATGATAAATATAACAGTGCCCAATACTAGCAACTTGCGACTCACCACTCAGCCGATACGAGTAGCATAATGCCACCATCAGATATCTCGCATAGACAAGGAGAAGGCCCTAAGTTTTAAATGCAAATTGTGAAGACCGACCATATATATGACGCAGGATGGAATTTTTTCATGTTCTTATATACCTTGTCGCGGAATTTCTAACGATGATAACCTGCAGGGTCACGCAGACACTTAGTAGCCCCGACTGGTAAGTAAAGTCTCACCAAATGTGTGGTGTCTGTCACGGAGGACGGGATTACGAACTTCGCTTCCTCCCACGCGCGTCGAGTTATCGACTGCAGCGGAAAACACTACTCGCAGACTTGAAGTTTGATCAGCCTGAGAGTCCCCACCATATGCAGAGAGTCTTACCTTACTAGAATCGGTTGTATTGGTCAGAAGATGATAACATCCTGGAACAGGATGTCACGGTGACGGTATCATTGCCATGGCACGAATGGTTGTTGCAATCCTTTTGCCATCCAGGGATCCTTTACGCGGTAGAGTAATCAAGTTACCCTGTGCCGCCGGGCTGTACAACTTGAACATTTCGGGAACTTGTGCTGATGGGCCTAGGACAGTCACTATCCCTTCATCGTTTCGCTGCTCACTACCAGTAGCTCATTATTGTCCAACACAAGCCAACACACTTACTGGACGGCCTGACGCCAAAACATCATTTCTCGCATTAGAGCCAAGTTACAGCTCATACGTCGATCCTTCGAGTCTTTCCTGGAGATATAAATCATCCGCATGATTTCAGACCCTACTGTTCAACCGAACTAGTATTTCGCCAGGAGCCGAGTTGTCTATTCCATCTCACTACTGTGACATCTTATCAACATTCATCAATGGATCAATGTCAGTATCTACATCTCGTATCCTCTCTCGAGTCTCTGACCTCGTCAACGGTTCCTGGTGATCATCGATCATCTAAAGGAATTTGGGAGAAGCCAAATCGCAGTCAAGGGTGCTGCGTATGACTCCCATGAACGCCAGCCCCATCCAAAATGTTTGAAATCGACCCGGACGGTCCTTCTCAATCACATCCACGGCTTTTTAGACGACGGAGAACACGGTAGTCGACTCATTTGGTTGTACGGCACCGCGGGTGTCGGAAAGTCTACTGTTGTGTCCACTGTAGCTGAAAGGATGAGAGGGATGGCGGTGACAGGGTGGACGACGAAAGAAAAGTGGCTCGCGAGATCCTGCTTCTCGCACATGCACACAAAACGCTGTACGACTGAATATTTTTTTGCGATACTTGCCTACCAGCTTGCCAGGTCCCAGCATCCGCGAGGATGTAATCAGAGCTATCCGCGAAGATCCTGCAGTTCTCGATCCAGACACCCCCTCACGATCAGATGGAAACACTAGGTTCTAGAAAGGTTGAATTAAAGGCAGCCCTTTTTCCGACTTCTTTAGAACCTTCGATTCAGACTGCGTGACAACACTCCTTTGGCCTCTATCATCGATGCCCTTGATGAAGGTACATCAAAAAACCGAGCTTGATGATCTTATCTCCCTACTTGGCCGAGCTTTTCGTGAACCTGACCTGCCCACGGTCCAGATCCTGCTCACGGGTCTTAAGTATGCATGCCAATACTGGGCGTTCCATCTTCTGCGAGCTCCGAATCTATGCAACGACACTCTCAACCATACATCTAAGTCTTTCTGGAACCGTACGCTTCTCTCCTGGCTCGAAAGACAGTGGTGTTTGAATGGTCTGCGGTCTTGTCTCGTCATTTTGTCGGAAGCACAGAAACTTGCACAGGCGTGTTTTCCAATGATTCTGAATCTTGCGACTCAGCACCTGACCTGTGGACACAGGAATATCTCCATCACGCTTCAGGGTCATCTCAGGCTTCAATTTGAAGCTGTTGCTTTGAAGCAAGATATCACTCTGTCGCATTATCTCACATGGATGTTCTTCATTTCATTTCATTGTCTACTGCAATCATGGAATGCATAATAAAAGTATTTGTTTTGTGCTTGGATGTCACCTAGACTTCTAGTATAAGACACAGACAGATGGAGGACAAGGTCGCAGTCATCTGCTTAGATTCCCAAAGTAATGCCATGGCATAAATACGATACTTTAGTACGACTCATGATACAAAGTCCCATGATGGTAATATGAAAACCTAGGCTACCATCTTCTTTTGCAACTTCCTAATCGATCGTCGCTCGCCAGCTACTCTTAATACTGGTTCCCTCTTCGGCGTAATGGACACTTGCGTCTTCAGCCTCATCCTTCGACTTCAACCCTCCATCCCTCTAGTCTGCACCCTGATCTGTCTCGAGGTTATCCCCTTCTGTAAAGAAAACGACGTCAGGGTATCTGTGCTACTACCCATCATGATGACACTCGTGAAGATTCCATTGGACTGGTCGGGGTCGGATGTGTCTTTTGAGTATACGCGGTATAAGAAGGTCGCGATTACCAGGAGATTGCAGACGGTGAGACTGAGGGCTGCCTAATTTCGGTCGCATTTTGCAAAGCAGTGTGAGAACGGAAGAATGCTTACCTTGATGTGCGCAAACATGAGCGTAGTTGTGTTAAAGGTTCCGAGCATGAGGAGTATAGAGTGAGGGATTGTGATGGCGGTAATTAGAAGAGATGCGCAAAATGCAGATTGCACCAGTACTTTTTTGCTACGCGAGAGGCCTGCGTTTTTCAAGAGATGAAGCGGCGCAGCAACGAGGGAAACATCCGCGGTGAAGTCCGCTAAATTACCAATGATCTGAGAACCATAGCAACCAAAAGAAAGTACATAGGTACTGACTGGTCAAAATCGAGAGCGCCACCGACTTGCCCAGGCGGCAGGAGTGGAATTTGCAGATACTTAGCTTCTGAACGAGCAGCGCGGCCCACATACACGCAAATGATACTGCGATGAGACGGGTCATCTGTTTGTGGATCTTGGATCCCGAGTGATTGGCGACGGGGATGATCGAGAAAATGATGCTCATGCGCGCAGCCCTGAACTAGTCAGTTAGAAATGTAACCGAGTGGGCTATGATGCGCACCACAGCACACTGGTAAAAGCGATTGCGAGAATCCACGCTGGGAGTGGTATGGATATGTCATTATTCTTGGAATACGAAGTCAAGTAGCACTCACAACTTATCGCTTCGTCGATCCAGATACATGCCAGGCAAACAACTGAGAGGATGTGGTTGGTTTACTGTCGTCCAAGGCAGCGCACAAGGAAAATTATACCGTCTGCGACAAGCGCAAGTGCCGCCCATGCATCTTCCCACCATAACTGATGCATCCGCCCTCTGTAAACGAGCCTGAAGATGGTGCAGATGATGGCAATACTGTGCGATACCAACCCCACGACTTTCCGGATGATGATAAACATAACAGTACCAAATACTAGCAACTTCCAACTCACCACACAGTCGAGAGGAGTAGTAGTATAATGCCATCTCGTAGACAAGAAGAAGGTAAGTTTTAAATGCAAATTGTGAAGACCGACCATATATATGACGCAGGATAACACTTTTTCACGTTGTTATATACCTTCTCGCAGAATTCCAACGATGACAACCTGCAGGGTTACGCAGGCACTATCCCTGACTGGTGCCACAGAAGTCTCACAAAATGTATGGCGTTTCTCACAGAGGACGGGATTACGAAACGCCTCCTCCCACGCGCACCAACTGCAGCGGAAAACACTACTCGCAGACGGGCCTTCAATGAAGCTTGATCAAAGTCCTCCCCCACTTATGTGCAGAGAGCCTTACCTTATTAGAATCAGCGTTGTATTGGTCAGAATATGACATCCTGGAACAGTGAAATTCAGGACGTGAAGGTGACTCGGTTTGAAGATTGGCTCGAATGGTTGTTGCAATCCTTTTGCCATCCAGGGATCCTCTACGTGGTAGAGTAATCAAGCTACCCTGCACCGCCGCCGGGCTGTATCATGATAACATTTCAGGAACCTGTGCTGATGGGCCTAGGACATCCCTTCCGGTGCAATCGGCACTCTGAAGGTGGCAGTCACGCAAATGTCATTGTAAGTCACAGTATATCACATAGGCCAGTTTCAAAGTGAGCTCGGCAGACTGGTCAAGCAAGAGTGCAAGTTCAGTTAGTATTCGGCATAAGCGAGCGTATTCACCGTGACCATTAGTGCAAATTGAGGGGGATGTAGTGAGACTTGGACCATGTGCATTGTATGGATGAGGTTGTCTATGATGCATGGCCCAGACTACCATCGGATGGATTCTGTATTGTAGGATCCGGACGTGGATCGGATGATCCGAGAGTTAGATTAGCCCAGCAGCGCGGCGCATGACAAGTCCGAGTTGTGCCGTTACTGAAACTCCGTCACGGCACAAGGTCGGCAGGTGCGTGACTTCGGCGGATCACGTACATCAACGTGGGAATCTGGATTCGTATCGATCCGAATGTAGTTGCCAAAAAGAAAACGATGGTTTTATCGATGGACTCAAGACGATATAAAAGCTCTTCTTTGTAATATGAACTGTCTTTATCCTCCAGTTATCTGCGCACTGAATCCAGACGTCGAAATTTCCGCACCGTGTGCATGCACTTTGAGGTAAGTGTCGTGTTTTTACCTTTGATTGTACGTACTTGGACCATAGTCCATCAGGGCGTTGTATTGGTGATAATCTTGTTTGTCAGACTTGTCACTTGCAATCCGTCGTTACATGTATTCATCACGATTACATTATCGATAATCATGTCGGTGTGGGACCCACGATAATGTTTCGGTGCGTTTGACAGTGCTGTTGAACCCGATCATGCAGATGGGACACTATTGAGAATCAATCCTTGGTACTTGCTCCGTCAATATGTCATATCGGCTTTGATCGCGCAGCACTGAAATCGCCATGCCCAGAGCTTGGAAGCAGTGCACCGATAGGAACTGGTGCCGGTCACAGCTCGAATTGATCAGGCTTCTGTTCCAACGAGTACAATACACCGCCAAAGTTATACGTCATAGCCCCATGATCTTGTTGCGTGAGTTTTTCATATTATAACGGCACAATTGAATTGGCAGAACTTAGTAGTTCTTTACTCATCACACGAAGCCAGACAAGAATGGGTTTGGCCAGGCTTGTCGCAGACTTGTCGAGATATATTTTGATTCCGGTTTACCCCGCTCATCACGTGTGGTGATCGACTCCATCTCCAGACCTGCCTATCTGAGCACTACACTTGGATTTTTTGTTTGCGCTGAACCAATTTAGGATGGAGGCAGTTAGTATACAAGCGGGCTAACAAGCCTGATCGAACACAGCGTACCTACTCCATACCTTCATCTTTATCCACTTTACCCTACACCACGAAAACTCCCTTACCCTCTCTATCTCAATTCCCCATGATACTCGATCGTTCGCATGTTACCCTACACCACAGTGTGCTAGGAACCACTTTCAAAGGCATCGATCATCCAATATCCACCCCGGATGTACCCATACACCAATTCCGCGGAATCAAATACGCCAGTGTACCAGCCCGCTTTCGTCAATCGAAACTCGTCGTTTCATACCCCTCTTCAGTTGATGCAACCCGTCACGGGTACGTCTACTTTTCGTATTGTGCCTGTTCAATTGCTAAAGTGCTCGTCCAGCCCAATATGCCCACAGCCTGATCGGAAAAGTTTTGAAGAGGAGCTCATTGGTCTTGCCGACAGTGATATCCCAAGACAAATCTTCAAGCAGGATGAGTTTGAGTGTCTCAATTTGAACATCACCTGTCCTGCTGGCCATCACCGTGAATCACAAGTTCCGGTTATGGTTTGGATCCATGGGTGAGTCTAGTCTCGTACTCCTTCATCGTGTAATAGACGCTCATATGAGTAGCGGAGGTAGCCGTGGTTGTGGCTCAAGTTGGATCTATGATGGCGGCACTCTTGTTAGAAAGAGCGTTTGTATTGGTTCACCGATCATAATGGTCACAATCAAGTACGTTTCCTTCCGCCTTGCGTATATCAGTACGGTGGTATTCATTCACGGTTAGCTTTCGCATAGGAGTATTTGGTGTTGCCGCAAACATGCAGTTGGCAGAAGATAACCGAGCAGCAGGCGACGAAGGCGTGGGAAACTATGGTTAGTCTATTTTGCATCCCTCACATAGCTTTGACTGATGATCGCGCAGGCCTGCGCGACCAACGTCAGGCTCTAGAATGGGTGAACCGTTTCATCGCAGATTTTGGAGGGGACCCATCCAATGTCACCCTATTCGGACATTCTTCAGGAGCAGCAGACATCATTGCTCACCTGTACTCCAATGCCAACCTGACTCGCCCCCTATTTGCTCGGGCAATTGTTCAAAGCGCGATCATCGAGCACAATCCTCCAGAACCACATTCAGCTGGATGGCAACTGTCTAGGGCATTGGCTCCATTGCACGCCTCTTCCGTCGCACAACTTCGTGCTATAGATCCTGAAACACTTGTCAACGTCAATCTCCCCTTCCGCGCGGTCGACGACGGTGTCTTCTTCAGAAAAGGATTCAAAGATCTCCTCTTCCCGCCCTCAGAGTCGGAAGAACCTGTCGGAGCTCCTCTTGACAGAAGTTTGAATCCGCTGCGGTTTGCCATTCGCAAGGCAAAAAACAAGAGTCGAAGCCCGCACCCAATGAGGAGCCGTCTGCCTGCCGTTCCCCATACATCCACCCCCGGTCTCCAGCCTCTCCTCATAGGCGATTGCGCATGTGACTCTTCTCTCTGGTCCCAGTCTGCGTGTCAGTGGGCCGCCCCCGCTGTTGTGCGACGAATTCGTGCGATCTGCCAGTCTATCACAAAATCCTCCGCTCTTCTCAATGCTTATGAGATAGGCTCACACATGTTTACGGAAGATCTTACCGACCGTTTACTTGAGCTTGTAGAGGATGCACGCATAGCGTGGCCCACGGAATGTGTTGTTCAAGCTGCGCAGAGGACTGGTCGACAGGTCTGGCGGTATATATTTGATCAGGAGGGTCCTACACAGGGGATGCCCCACCATGCAGCAGAGTTAGTCTACTTGTTCGACAACGTCTCGCTCCCATTATCACCTTCGTCTTCACCCACTGCTTTTGACGCTGACGAGTCGCTTCCATCACTCCCATCGTCAAGATCGACTTCTGCTGACCTGGGCGAGATCCCCGACAAGATGTGCACCATCGACGAGTTTGACCTCACGGATATCGACAAGTTCTCTTACGGCTCAGAGTCAAGTTACAGCGGGTGGACCCAACCCGTTGTTGACGAATTGATGTATGCTCGTGTGCGAGATGCGATACAGGAGCGGTGGATCACATTCGCGCAGGGAGAGCGGCCATGGGACAATTCTCGTGGCAAGGTGTACGTTTTTGGCCCTGAGGGCGAAACAGGCGAGCGAAGTGCGGGTATTTTTGGAGGCAGGCGGCGTCAAAAGATATGGGAGGAGATGCTGAAGCCTTTGGGCATGACGCTTGTGCAAAAGGTTGCACAAGAGCTCAGCAATGGGCCTGGGTTACCGCGGTAATTGTCGCGAGTCCAGCTGCTCATCGTGATCTTTCAAAAGCGGGTGTTGCGCAGTATCATTGTTCATATTCGCAGGGTTAAATGGATTACTTATTGGGTTGGGAAGCTGGTTGTTCTTTCCTAGGAGTTTCATATACGGTCGAGTTCATTTGGCATATCGCATTGCATGTCTATGGTCACATTTACACATCTACGAATACGCATGTTATATTATCATTGCATTAATTTCAAAAGTAGGATAGACCAACAGCGAAAAAAACGCGCAGCAGCATAGCAATATAGCATGTCATGGAAGGTGCAATACCACTAAGCCACCGATATCGGTAATTATTTAATCGCTGGTAGCTCGTTCCCACGTCCGATCCTATATGGTTCGGCACTTTGCCATCGCCTCGTCGAAGTAGATCAAAAGGTCACCGACACCGAGGACATGTAGAAAATAGCCCCTAGACATGTCTGTGATCGGAAAGTTCCGTGCGGTCCTGTTGTTTTGCATCATCACATTCGCAACCACCCCGTCGCTTAATTAAGTCACGCAGCCTGATCCCGCCATACCGCCATCTATGTCAACCACCACCATGCCAATCCTGTCATCCTTGTCACCTTGTTGTCGCGGTTCTAGTGGACATGGCAGCTGTAGACTGGGAACGACACGGCGTTGGCAGGCAGGTAGGAAATAGGCAAACACGGAGGAAGTAGTAGACAGGCAGTCAAGCATGAGAGACTCGCAGGGATCAGAAGAGATGGAGGTAAATGTCCTGATGTGGCAGGCAGGCGGGATGATAGTGACATCATGCGGCGGCCTTGACAAACTTTCCGGGACTTTTCGAGCAATCCACTAACAGGGCAGAAGTTTACATCCAGTCTGCATGTCCACCGGTCACTTTCCGAGATCGTCGAACTCTCAGACGCCAACTTGGAGTCCAAGTACCGTTTACCTGACGAGGGGCAAGCAGGACGACGCTTACTTCCCCCTTCCTCGCGAAGAAGACTTGGTCACATTTTGATCACTTGTGAGTAAACGACATACAATATGTGTTCAGGTCACTTCTGATTTGTAAATACTAGTACATGTGAGTATTTCTAAATTATGTTCCATGTTCGGGTTGTCGGCCACCGATGGGCTGGTCTTGTTGGTTGTGTAGTTGCTTGACATATGCTTTGTGGGCATTGGAAAGCATGCGAACGGTGTGATAAAACTTTGTGGGTGCCATCAGGTGAGTGAAAAGACTGAACAATTAATATGGGTATGGGTATGGGTACTGCTTTGGAAGTAAACTCACTAATATCATTCGAACAGACCCACACCACGCATCATATGACACCACTGGCTGCGAACGCGAGATTTATGGAATCTCACCACATTCCCAATCGTGCCTGAAGCAACTTGCATATAAGAACGACTCTCCAGCCAAAGAGTTGCTAGGCAGTTGAAACAACTACAACGTGTACGTTTTCGTTGCGATCCCCTTACTGCTAAATCTAACAGCCAACACGTCAGTGCAACCATGATTCCTTTTGTACTTGCCGTTTCCTTGTTCCTTGCGCTCGGCACGGGAGTTAGTGCAACCTGCGAGGCCTGTCCTAATTGCGATTATGAGTCAATCAGTATATCGCAAGGGGATGCATGTCTTAACTACTGGACGTGCGAAGGTGATACCATCACGTGCTATTACCCTTCTGTTGCAAATCCGGGAACGTTCAACTTCTGCTCATACAGTCAACCGAACGTAAGTATCTATCTCTCCCAGCAGTACATGCACACTCACCGATTTTTCGGAAATGCCAGGATTGGCCAGTCAACGAGGGCTCCAGCGAATTCTGTTTCCCGTATGCGGGAGTCAACTCAAAATGTGAACCTGGGAATGACCCTTACAACGTTGGCACCTCAGCCTGCACCGCTTCATACGGGTATGTTGGTGAAGGCAACAGTGGGCTGTTAAAGAGGAGTTAAAGGGTCTGGTGTAGCATGGGCTACCTCTACCTTATCACAAGCGCACGAACTGCGAATGTATATCTGAAAAGATCTGAGATTGGCTACTCCGCTGGATGAAATCAGCATGTAAGTACCTTCATGGCCCATGGGACTCATAGCCGTCATTTCTGTGCTACGGTGAGCCTTTTACATCACATGTGTGCTGTTCCTTTCCAATCTTCCAGGAACATCATGATCATATCTGTGTGTCGAACAGTGGTCGTCCTCCAGCAGCTCATTCACAGTGTCTCCTTTTCCTTTGCCGTCCTCCTTCAGAAATTAGATAGTCGATCACGCTGTCAGTTCGTGTCGTGCAAAATGACATGTTCGAATTTGGAGTCGATTTCCCCAACTCGACACTAAATTTAACACAGGTACCTGCCCATATTTGAAGGACTATGATTAGATTGGTCAAGCTCTGGGTGCGTGGAGAAGTCACAGCTGAATCATTTGCACAGCATGTCAGGAGGGGATGAAAGGAACTTCGCCCGAGGATCGTCCCGATGGGATCCCGGTTGCGACATAGCCCTAAGTCCGGAGTTGACGGATCAGGACTTGCTGGGAGCGTTACCGCGGCACGTTTTCCATCCACAGGAAGCGCCTTGCGATGTTTTTCACTTCGTCTCTTCTCTTGCTATGTGATGTTCCAATCATGGACAGCGAGTCTCGAGGGTACGTACTAAGTTCCCTCATCTACTTATGAGAGTCCGGAACTGATAGCAGCGACCTCTCACGAAGTGGCGGTTGCGTGCACTGCGCTGATGTTGTCACATCGGTACCATGTCGCGCGACTGTGGTGGGAAGACATGTGGGCAGTACTATCACTGGCTTTCGGTTCGACCTGCTTTGTTTGTGCGCTGCTTGATCGACCAATGGCAGTTTGTGCAGAATCTTTATCTAACTCGCGAACTTTCTTAAGCGACTTGTCGAAATCGTAGGCGCTACGCCAGAGGTCGACCGCTTATCTTGGCTCGTATCCATAGCCGTTCTGATAAGTCGTTATCCGTCGTTCAAGTTCGTACTTCTTGTACTCACATTGTGCAAAGTTTGCAAGAGCCAACATCCCATGCTCCCTCGTACGTGTTGCAAATGCTGAAAGCGGCCTCAGACGCGTCGTTTATGGTACAGGGATCTCCTTCATTATTATGTTCATCGAGATCGTTGCCCGAAGAATGAACACTACGAATATAGCATAATTTTGTTGCGATAACACAACTCATCAGTAAGTTTGTCAGAACCTTGCGCATGCTGATGTTCAAAGTCCAATATGATCGAGTCAGCGAACACACTTTCAGATGGAATGCTAGTTGTCCTGCCCCTTCTGATGTCGCGTCGCATCCAGCTACCTGAGAGCCAAAATATACCAGTCCTACTATCGTCCCCCGCAGCTATTTTCATCAGCGCTGTGACTATCCTGTATTCTGCGTTGTTGTTTGGATCCGATTCCATAGGCATATTCCACAGGCATCATTGTCATCGGACACGTCAAGGTAAAGCGATCTTTTACTCGGCTTGTTCGTTCAGTATCCATCATGATATCCATATATAGGCTGCTATTTCGCTTATTAAGCGAACTTCTTGTCCTGCTGACACTTGCGTATCGCGCTTACGGTTTTGAAGATATAGATAGACCGCATAGTAGCGAAACTGTGGTATTCACCAGCGTTGACATGGAATAGCTCGGAGGAGATTGGTCGAGATGTCCCTCGTTATCGAGTGTCATGAGGAACTCCATGTCGTTGGCGCAGAATGTGACCGACGAGGATGGTAGCACACCTTCAATGGGCAGGGATACAATTGTAGAGAAATTAACATCAACAGATGTGGAGGGAGAGCGTACCTTCCTATTCGTTTTATAATATTTAATATTGTATACTGGTTAATTGTTGCATTTAAAGCAACTTTAAAAACTGAAGGATCGGTATGAGATGAGAATGAGAACTGCTGCAGTGGCGTCAGCATTCGCGCGTTCAGCGCTCAGTCATGGTAGAATGAGTAGTTCGGGATTCCAAGTGTCTGCCCGGATGGCGTGTCTCGACTAGGGAGCCGAATTAATTAGAGGTAAACCATCAACGACTGTTTAACTGCGAATAACATTAATGATAATATGCAGTAGCTATCGATACAATGTCAGATGTAGACTATGTTGAATGCCCAACCTGATGTGAACGATGTTGAATGCCCACGCTATGTAACAAGCGAACGTTGAATCTTTTTTACATTTGATAAACTCGAGCACACCCCACGCGTCAACACCTAAAAGTCTTCCTCAATACCCGCCGGACGCTTGAGCGTGCTGACATCCACGCCAGGGAGCGGCCATCTCCGTGCGAACCCAACGACGTCTCTGCGGAGATCATCCACCTGTACCGCACCTGCCGAGCCCTTCGCCGTTGCGGCGCGGATGAAGTCCTTGAGAAGCTTGGAGCCAGCCTCCTTTTGAAGGAAGAGCGATAGTTGCACAGCCCGGTGCAAGAAGCTAGCGACGACCTTGATGTCTTCCTCCGTCATGTCGCGGGACGTGAGCGCCGACGTGCCGAGACGGATGCCGCCAGGAGTTTGGGCAGATGCATCGCCAGATACTGCGTTTTCTGTTGCAGGATTCCAATATTAGTATCTTGCATTTTCATACAGGAGACAGATCTAACTGTTGATCGTGATGCCCAACAAGTCGCACACCTTCTCGACTTTGCTGCCAGTCAAACCAAGGGGACGGAGGTCCCACAGAACAAGGTGGTTATCAGTACCGCCGGTCTGTAGTTTGTAGCCGTGCTCCTGAAGGGCAGCTGCAAGTGTCTGCGCATTGGAGATAACCTGTCTAGCATAGGCTTTGAATGTAGGCTGGGATACCTGCAAAAGGGCAGTAGCGACAGCGGCAATAGTCTGGTATAATTTTGTTATCAGCTTGTATTTGTTAGCCGAGAGATTGGGGGTACCAACGTTATTGTGGGGGCCACCTTGACAGGCAGGAAAAACAGCGTCGTTAACGCGCTTCTCAAGATCTTGGCTGTTGGGTCCGTCTCTTTTGAAAAAGATTAGGCCAGCGCGAGGACCGCGGAGGGTCTTGTGGCTGAGATGTGTCAGTAGTAAGAAGTCTCAGTTGTGAACGGAAAACTCACGTCGTTGTGGTAACGATGTCACAGTATTCGAAAGGGTTATTTAGTGTTTGTGCTGCGACAAGACCACTGGTGTGTGCGATATCAGCCATGAGGTATGCACCCTCTGCATCTGCAGTCTTCTCAAAGCAGCATAATCCCAATCGCGGGGATAAGCAGAGGCACCGCAAATGATTAGTCTGGGCTTGAAAATCTTTTGCCTGACGCTCAAGGCCTGCATAGTCGATAAGTTGTGTTGCTGGGATCAATTGCGTAAGGGAAAGACTGGAAGTAAATCGAGGAAGCGGTCATCTTCTTTTTGGCAGTCTAATTGATCGGACCTCAGAACCCAAGCTAGCCATTGACGTGGCAAAAGAAACTCACATAGTAACCGTGTGTGAGATGTCCACCATCTGGGAGACCAAGACCCATCAAGCGGTCCTGAGGCTGAATGAGAGCGGTTAAGGCTGCAAAGCTATCGGTCACATAACGTGAGACAGGATCACACATAAGCGACGTCGGACGTACTTGGCAGTCTAGCATGAGAGTCATTGAATGTCAAGATTACAGAGTGTCTGATTATACTGAATACTCACAGAGCCAGAATAAGGCTGGACGTTCACACCCCATTTTGCAGGGTCGAGGTTGAACGCTTCAAGGGCCCGCTTGCGACAAAGAATCTCAAGCTCGTCAATGTATTCATTGCCACCATAGTACCGGGCATTTGGAAGACCCTCTGAGTACTTGTTGGTCAATATTGAGCCATTTGCCTCGAGAGTGGCGCGACTCGTCAAGTTCTAAGAAATGTCTCAGATAACATGAAGACAGATGAGAGTGAACTGCGAGATCCACCTCAGACGCGATAAGCTCGAGTCCGGAAAACTGCCTCCAAGTTTCCTTGTCGATGATGTTCTGGATTTGAGGATCGATCTCTGCCAGAGGTGCATACAGGACTTTGTTCTGCAATAATAGCGCAGCTTCCTGGTAAGGACATGTAACTGATTGAAAATAGTACGCACGAAGTCTGGGGTGCTAAAGGTTGCCATTTTTCTTGAGCTGAGTGCAAGACCCTGTTTGAAACGCAGGGATGATGAAGGAGTGACGGAGAGATAAAGAGGACGAGTTAGCAGGCGCAACATCTCAATCTCAAATTTCAATGAGGGTAATATAATAAGATAAACGGATAATCCCGATCTGAGTCACATATAAGATAAAATATATTTGTCCAAAAAGATAAACCAAACAAACAGCGATTAAGTATAATCGCTGAGTTTCAAATATGGAATCTATTTTGCGATACAATGAAAGTTCTAACTATTATGCTTCAAACAATAAGCTGCTGCGCGAGTGTCCATGCGTCCACAACTGTTGTTTCCATATATAAAGGCGAGGCAGATGGCGGCCTTGAATCCCCATCTTGTACGCACTACTCGTAACTGCAGCCTCTTCTTTCGTCAACTTAACGAATTTCTAGATCAGAGCCAGGAGCTCTTCTTACGTTCATTCTAACGCTAGTTGCATCGCACAGTCACCTACACTCACTCAAACATATCATCTTCTATAGTTATGGGTTTCTCCCAGAATTTCTTTGTAATCGCCATGCTGGCTTCCATGGCCAGCGCGGCACCTCTTGCATCTTACTACGTGCTTGTATCCAATTCTTCAGGCTTTTCCCAACAACAAAACGGTCTCGATGCCCAAAAACTGAATGCGCAGTTTGCTACAATGTACCGCCAATGATTCTTGCACCAGTGAGTTCTTAATATTTTTTTTCGTACGTCCATTTATTGATTTTGTGATCGTGCTACAGGTGATGCTCAGGCATGCGTTAGCGGTGCTTTCGCACAATGCATTGGAAGCTCCTGGGAGCTCACGCCTTGCTCATCCGGTCTGTCTTGTTTCGCACTTCCTCTCGTTGCCAAAGCTGGAACCAGTCTCGCTTGTGACACACAAAGTGATGCTGAGGCACGTTTTGTCGCTGCTGGCGTTCAGGGAGGGGTAACTGGAAATGGTACCACAAGCAACACAACCACTGAAGGTGGCGACTGTGTCGAGACCACCACAAGTGCCTCACCATCTCCCACAAGCACTCCTACCTCGAGCACTTATGACCCATGTGCTTCCTCAGCTCTTGTGACTTCATCTACCCTCGCCAGCCCCTCAATGAATTCCGATGAAAAAGCGTCAGTTTGGCACCTCCTCATACGCACCCACCTTTGGCTTTTGGCAGTCCGACCACTACTGTTACCACTTCATCTACTCAGGCTGGGCCCTACCAGTGCAGCGAGTTCTTCTGCCAGTAGTCCTGCATCAATCGTTTCTACAAGTGCTTCGACGAGTTCCTTTGTCGCTTCCACACCTGCGACCACTTTTGGCTTTGGCACTTCTACGAGTGCTTTTGCGAACTCCTCTGCCATTTCTACTCCTACAACCACCTTTGACTCTGGCACTTCTACTGGTGCTGGTAGCGTTACTTCGAGTCCCTCAACCTCTCCCGTCGTATCCACTGGGACTGGAACTGCGCTTCTCACTTCCTCAACCCCTCTTGTGACGCCTACACCAGCTACCACCACCGGCGCGAACAATGTTTCCACTGTGATCGTTGTGACCACCGTGGTCGTTACTGTGACAGCTAATGGTACGGCTGCACCCAGCATGTCACCAACGGCGACAAGTGTGGGAGGGAACGGAACTGTATCATCTACTGCTTTGACTCAAACTCCAGTTGCTGCATTCTCTGCTTCCCCATCTCCCTCTTATGCCCCAGCCACTACCGTTGACTTGAACAGTCCTTCCGTCACCCCAACTGCAAGTGCCACATCCAGTGCAGTTTTATCTCCCGTTGTTTCTGCATCACCGAACATCTCGGTTGGTGCTACATCTTCGTCCGTGGTAACTTCTTCGACTGCTTCGTCTCCGTTTGGCTTTGTCTCGGCTTCGCCGACAGTGACTTATTAAAGAAGTGGATTGTATCAGTGATAGATTATGATACGTGTCGGAGGAGTGGATTATATTCATGATGGATTATAGGACTCTAATGGAGCTCAAGACCCTCGGTCATATACCCACACGCTGTACCAATTGGTTATTGTACTCAACTTAGTTGTATAGCTTACCATATTATAGTTCAAGGTGCAGGACGTCTTATTATTGTCTTATTACTGTTTTCCTTTGGATTTCACTGCAGACGAAAAAAACCTAAGATTAGGGTTAAGGTTTGACCGTGAGAGATGCCTGCCTTAATTCGTTACCGCGGCACTTTGGTACTGAGTAGTACTGATCTGCAAAAGGCTCGTGCTGCTCCCCAATCAACTTTCTGCAGGCGCACGCACAACGCTCCAACAGTCATGAACAATATTGTACTCAGTAATATCGAACAGGTCCTCGGAGCACATGAACCCGAATTATCACAGAACTTGACGAAGCTCTTTGCGAAGCTTCTAGAGCGAAACCAAGACCCGACATTTGTGCAGAACTACACGGTGAGTTCCATCATATCCTGTGCTTTATGCCACCATTTGGACCAGTACAAACTAGGGTGCCATTAAATTCCGGTTTAGCAAAGAGTTTCAGACGCGGAAGGGTCGCGATCCTCTCAGCTTCAGTGCTTTTGGCAAAGCATGCTATGCGGCAGGGATCGTGAAGACGTTTCTTGCTGTCGTGACATCTCATCTGTACACGCAGTCACAATCGCAGCCGAAGGAGCGATATATCGGCCAGTACAATGCGCTCGAAGCTCTGACAGAGTTTATGCAGACTGGTAATCTTACCGAGCGACGCACGCTTTTGGAGGACATGAAGAGGAACCATGTCATTAATATTTGTTTATCGGTAAGAATATACAGGACTTTGTCTGGCTTTAATGTTCTCATGTGCCTCTTAGCATCTGAACCATCCTCTTTGCATTTTCCGTCAGTTAGCCGTCAATACCTTACGCGTACTCGCCAGTGAATCTGTACTGGGAGAGAATTCATCTGTAACAGAAGCAGCAGATATAATTGCAGCTGTCTGCAGATTCACTTTGGAAGGGCCCGATTTCTTCATCGAGGGCATGCGATCTCCAAATACAACATGGCAAAGTCAAATGGTTATGGATGCAACTGATGTGTGTCATTATTCTGTCTTATCTATCCCGTGCTCGACTAATATTCACCACGAGGTACCTGCAAAACGAGCTGCGGAAAACGCACCTCGATTTTACGCCATGACTCAAGAAAGCGCTTTATGGACTGCCCATGGGCTTTTGTGTACCACACCACCCCCATCGCGAAAACATTGTCTTGACATTTTAAAAAAGAAACCAGAAATTCTAGACCTACTTTTTGACTGCGCCATCATCACTCGCCCGCCTTGGTATCCTGAAACACAAGTCGATTCTATCGCGTGCGAGGTCATAGCCCTTCTCTTCCAATGGCCGTCGCACATAGTACCAGGTGTTTCGACGCCTCAAGACAATATCTTTAGAGCACAGGAGTGGAAGGCCATGACCCAAGCTGTAGCCATTCTGACATCCCGAGAAGACTGGTGTGAGAAGATCATCGAAGTATGGATGAAAATTGAAGAGGAGGATTGGCGGGAGGTCCGGGGGTGAGTGATGTCTTTCGTCTTTCCGTTACACGACTGACCACCCCCATAAAGCTGGTTTGATCGGGTCGAGGTTGATTACCACGCGGTTGAGCCACCCGATGAAGATGCTTTCGGTCAGGTGTTTGAATATAGAGGTCTGTCACCAACATGTCTCTCTTGATGAACATACGCAAATGGTATAAATGGCTTACAGGCACATCCCGTATTGCCATGCTGAGACTAGTCAGTACCCTTAGTCACGCAGCCGAGTCTTGCGGTGTCACCAACGCCGAGATCGAGTCACTGCTCCGGATGGCATACCTTGCTTCACGCAAAGTCAAGAGTGCGAGTGAGCTCGACCATAGTAAACCGGAGGATCGATATATGTGTATCGAGCGTATGGAAGAGATCTTCCGCAGCCCTATGTACAGCGTATCCCTGAACATGAAAGTGGATGCGCCCCTCCAAATTGCGGATGAAAGTATCATGGGTCCAACGGCCCTCGCACGCCTGCTCGTCGTGCTCGCCCAACGAAAAGCCTTCGATACCATCCAGGGACTCAAAAAAGCACCAAATGGTCTTTCATCCTCGACCTGTCTCAACCACGTACAACAAATCACGAACCCTGATGTTATCCGGCGATTTCTAAAGATCGCGCTGCAGCGCGTCAAGGCGGCTATGGACAAGGGGCGTGAACGCGCTCGCAAGACCGACAACGATTACGCCAGGGCTGCGTTCATGAGCGCTGCAGAGCTTTCCGCTGCCCTGGTTGCATTTGACAGCCACACGCAGGGTCAGTATTCGAAGGAAGTACTGGGAGCGAGAAAGGAACTTGCATTGGCGCTAGGGAATGCAGCTGAGATGGCCATTCGCGAGAAGTGCTGGCAGCAGGCATTGTATTTTGGGTCTGGTGCTGTGAACGTTGCTGAGAACATTCCAGCAACCGAGCATTTGGATTCCAATGTTATTGCAAAAAACAAGCGGCGCGTCGAGCAAGCGAGGATTGCGAATTCTGCAAAATAGAAGTCATGTAGTATTAACATGTGAGTGGTTGTTTCGGGTTCTTTTGCGTGTGATTCACCTAGTTCTGTGTTCAGTGACCCCTCTGTACTGATCTTTTGCACCTGTAGTGTATGATATATTGCACGTTTGTTCTATTAATGTCATCAAGTGTCTTGATACCGGGCACTTATTTACTTGCATCAGGGGCTGTAAAGTGTCCGAATTGACAATGTGTGGAAATATCTAGCAAGGATGCAGACAAGCGTGTATTTGAAGGCACGCTTGGACACACGAGGTTCACGGGGCTTGGTTTACTGCGGTCTTATCGTAGGCTTGGCTGGCCTAAGAGCAGCCAGGTTTCACCAAGAGAAGTAACATAACTCGGTTTGAAACGTATAATTCATATGATACTGCAAGTTCATCATTCGGGAAGATGTATAGTAAGACAAAGTTGACTTTCAGTTTGTATGTGCGGATGGTCGCACTGAGGGCTGGCCTAGAATCATTGGAAACAGGATAATTCCGGACTTGATTGAGTGCGAGTGTGATACTCAAGCTCAGTTTATCTTGGCATTTGTGGTTAAAACGTTAAACGTAAGCGTCTAAACTCCCAGAGACCGATGATCGGATGATCCCCGCTCGGCGGCTGCCGGACAACTCATCATTAGCTTCCAAGTCGTTCTTCACCAACAGATCTTATCCTAATTCAGTACTCTGTCTTCATTCAAAACAGTACAGGACACAAATTGTATACGTGCAAAAACGACTGACTTAACCACAGGTTCAGCTAACTTTTTACCGTGTAAGTACTTGCTACTTCAAGTTATTGCATGTGTATCTATCAATAGTCATTAAACTATCGAATAAGTGGTGACAATCATTGACAGGACTACCCCGCAGAACGGCATAGCCAGAGTGACCGCTATTAGGTCAGTATGAACAAATGGATATTCAAGTCTTTCTCTTAAACAGACCAAAGAACTTTCCTCTGCGTTCCTTTTCCTCGATGCGCTGACGCGCCTCCGCCTCCATCTCCTCCTCAGTGACAGAACCTCCCATAGCATACCATATAACAGTAGCGATGCCAATGACGACTGTCAACACACATCTACCAAGCACCCCGCATCGTCAGTATATCGCAACAACCACTTCAGCCCCGAACTCACCCAGCCATCGCCCAGATGCCTTTAGCCAGCCAACCGAGCTTCTGCAACCACGGACCAAGCGGGAGACCCGACAAATTAGTTGGGCTCGCGTGTCCTGCAGCATTGCCACTCGTGGGGATCCCAAGCGCAGCACACTGGTCGTACATAAACGACGGTACGCGGTCCTGTGCCTGTTCTTGTATCTGAAGCGGAGCTGTTATGAACTGGACCGCAAGGCCCGATTCAAGGTGCCATTCTATGTGACCTGGATGATAATGATGTAAGTAAGTGTCTCTTCTGAAGGGGGTTCGTAAACTTGCAGTGAAAGAGCCATGCGCCGGGGTTATTAGCGACGATGCGGAGCGTGACGGAACCTCCGCCAGGGATGGCTACAGTGTCACGACGCATCGGGTTTGCTTGCCCTTCGATAAGCGGTGGGTTAAGTGATGTATCGTTGGAGGTATAATCCGTCACTTTATTGACGATCTGCATCTTGTATCCGTGCAAATGGCTAGAACGTAACATCAGTTCTGTCAAACGCCGAATGTAGGGGAGAGATGACGCACAAGGGATGCTTCCCTGTATCAGCGTTCATCACCACAAGGTCGATCACATCTCCGTAGTTATACACAAAGCTGTACGGCCCATATGCCACTTGGCTAGTGGCATTTTCGCCCAGACTCAGCGCGCTCATGATCGCGGGTACCAGTGGCGGATTGTAAACCAAATTGTTTATGAATCCATGGTTTGTCCCATCGCTCATCGTCGCGAAGTTGAACTCAAGCTCAAGGGTATTTGTTGGGGGGAGTGCAGGCGAAACATCGGTGGGAACCAGAGCGCTGTCGTTTATCAGGGTATAGGAGGACACGGGGGACAGGGTAGTGAGGTTGGAGGAGGCGGAGTATGTGATGGTGGTGGTAATATCTGCAAGTATTTTGAAAGGTAGGACAATAAGCGGTGGGATCGAATACTCAGGAAATGGAATGGCCTACTGGGATTTAGACTACTGGGGACGGTGTCAAACATGCTTGTATCCATGTTTGCATGGATGGCCCAGTTTGACGACGTATCGTTCCTCGCGGTGACAAGCACAGAGTAACGCTGCGCCACTGCTAGGCTCAGCATATCAACAGGCTGCTCCTGTGTGTCTGTCTGCGATAAAATAAATCTACCGAGTTGAAAGAAGCAGGTAGAACTAAACGCACACCGTCAACTTCAATGATTCGCATTTCATGTCCGTCGATCCAGAAGTAGAACGCTGCGAATGCGCCCATGTTGATTACGCGCAGTCTGTACGTTTTACCGGGCTCGAACGGAAGCGTCGCGTTCTCGTTGAAACCTACCGCACTTGTTACCGGGGATGGGTGACTCCCTGGGATAGGTGCCAGGTAGGAACCATTTTGGGAGAAATATACGAGGGCAGAGTCTGCAAGTCAATGGAACATGAAACAAAAAAAATAAACATCCGTCCATCAGTATACCACCATGGACTATAGGACGAGGCAACTCACCAGGAATAGGCTCCGCTCCTCCTGGATCTGCTATGCTGAGGAAGGATTCCAAGAGGACAGGCTGCTCTTGATGGTACCAGTCACTCAGCATAACAGTGAACTCGGCATCGTAATCGGCGGCATAAGTTTCATTTGGAGAATGCAGCAGGAGAGGCGTGCGCAGACCATCCACATATATTCCCTGCATGGATAGATACAGAATTTAGTGTGACATTATTTCGAGAGAGCAAGCAGGCACGCGAAGTAGAAAATCAAGGAGACCACCCTGTTTACTTACATTTGCATGACCATGCGCCCAGTATGTTCCGACTTGGCCGGAGGAGTTGATGGGTACAACGTAGTCAAACGTCTGACCTGGGGGTATGCCACTGCGTGAAAAAAATAATTAGCAAAATACTTTGCGATATTAGTTGTATGCACAGAAACATCAAACAAAAGACGGCGACAGTTTGCGCAGCCGATGCAGCCACAGTATGACAAATTAACACGAGTGCACATACCATTGCGACACCCCCATTGCTCCGTCCATCCAGGATGTTGAGTTGAAGAACATGCCGTGGTGGTGTAGCGATGCAGGTCGATCGATGCCGTTCGTTACATGCACAAGCAATGAATCTGTTGTAGATACCTCAATTGGCGGAGGTCTTTATGAGTAGCGAAGAAGTCGACAGGCATAAGATCCAATTTTTGGAGTTTCGCAGTGAATCGAAAAGTTAGTTTCAATAAGTCGGATATGTCAGATCAAACAAGCTAATCATACAAGATGTAAGAAACTCACGGCCAGGTTCCGTTGACACCAATGACACGGCGTTCAAAGAGGCCATCTGGACTCGCGTCCTGAACGTAGGTGACGTTCCACCAAAGCTCCTGTATACCCGCAAGTGCAGGAGACAAGAGCGCAAGCAAGAGAAGGGATTGACGGCACCACATGGATGTGTCAATGGTAATTTGGATCCCCCACGTTGATCGTGATACCTAGATGAAATCAGTTCAAAGTCAGTCCTCAGAGGAAAATCAAAGGACCACGAAGAACGCACGTCTAAAGTAGCTCTGGAGGAATTCCACTACTGGTCAAACGGGGATGATGATGACCCTTCATCGCTAAAATTTTATCTGATAAGCCCAAACTAGATTTGAAATTTCAAGATGTGCCTTATAGGGCCATACTCGTTGGCTTGAGCCTACGGCAGTCCTCTCGTAAATTACTTACGCGGACCCTGGATCCGCGGCGTCGGTTAAACCTTCGCATTGAGAGATGTTCCATGCCTTGTGACTTGTCGCAGAATGTCCTCATCCGACTAATCTCCACTGTATTGAGCTCAAGTTAGCTACCTAGACTTTCTCATGTACCATAGTAGTAGGATTATTGACAACGAGCAGTCACTGATCTAAGACCGCCGCTTTCGCACATCAAAAATTTATCTGATAAGATTTGACATTTGATGGTGGCGGTGATGATCCTGACTACTTTTGGCGAACCCCTTGGATACTAATCTGATAAATTAGTTTTCGGCGTTCGGAAAAATTCGGTGTCACTGTGCAAGTCAGGTTCGCTGAAACTTCATTATCAGATAATCTCATAAATCCAATATGCACTGGTGCACCCCCACGTACCAAGGACGAAAACACGGCAATGACAGCCCAGAATTTGTTCAGCGTTAGCATATTCTTCATTGTCTTCAGAGAAACCCTTGAAGCCGTCGTCATCGTATCCGTACTCCTTGGCCTCATCGAGCAGATCGTCCATGGCGACATAGACCACTTCCCAACACTTACGGAGCACTATCGGCCCGTTTCAGCCCACCACAACGACAGTGAAACAACTACGCCAAGAGAAGGAGAATCAGACACCACCCTCAAGAGACGCTTGGTCCGCAAACTTAGAGTGCAGGTATGTTACTGCAGCAGTAATGTTGAAAGTGTCAGTGACTCATGACCAACAAGGTTTTTGCTGGTGCAGGCGTAGGCTTGTTCGCCTCATTCGCCTTAGGTGCTGCATTCATTGCAGTCTGGTTCACCAAGGCGTCCAATCTCTGGTCCAAGGCCGAAAATCTCTGGGAAGGTCTGTATTTTGCATCTAAATCCTCACTCGTTTCCAAAATCCTTTCTCTCACTATGTCGCACAATTAAACTGACCCACTCACTTGAATAGGTATCTTCGAACTTATTGCATCCTTGATGATTTTTGTCATGGGCGTTACCATGCTCAAGTTGGACAGGGCCAAAGCTACATGGCGCGTAAAGCTCCAGCGCGCGTTTAGTGATCAACGTCTGTGTCTTTCCTTCCTCTTTTCTTTGCCTCTGTTTTTATGCTTACAAATTATTTTTCATCGTCAGATGTCGATCGCCGCACAAGGACTGGGAAGTGGGTACTCTTTATCCTTCCAATGATCACTGTCTTGCGTGAAGGTTAGTATCGTGTCTGAATGTCTTTACCGAATGACGTCACCATGCTTTCAACTAATGCGTAACATTTTGCAGGAATTGAAGCTGTCGTCTTTGTTGGCGGTGTCGCGCTCGGACAGCCTGCAGAATCAATTCCCATTGCAGCAATCGTGGGCCTTGTCTGTGGATTGGTCTGTGGTTTCTTCATTTACCAGTTCGCTAGTCGCTCAAGTAAGCTTCGCCAATAATCATGTTACACCAATGCTCACCCACTGTACACTAGCTCTAACGATTTTCCTTATCGTTATGACGAATTTGATTCTCCTCATCGGCGCTGGCCTATTTAGTAAAGCTATCTGGTCTTTCCAAGAGAACGCCTTCAACAATTTGCTTGGCGCAGATGTCGACGACTCAGGCGGTAATGGACCTGGATCATACGACGTACGCGGGAATGTGTGGCATCTTGACTGCTGTAATCCTGAGACCGATATGCCATGGGGCATATTCAATGCTGTATTGGGATGGACAAATAGCGCCACTCAGGGTAGCGTGCTGAGTTATGTGTTCTATTGGGTCATGGTAATCGTAGTGCTCGTGTATATGAAATTCAAAGAGGTGTGTTCGTTTCTTACCGTTGTCTTCGCTTCGCTAAACTGTGTATCAATATTAGGGTCGTACCAAGTTTTTCGGGTGGGAGTCTGCGGTAGGCACGCGCAGGCGACTCGCTGGCGAAAAACAGGCAGAGGAGGCTGTCGGTGAAAAAGTCTCCCATAGCTCTCCTATAAGCACCTCCCAGAGTCCCTCGCCAGTGTCGGTTCGCCAACAGAACCCCCCCAGTGACACTATCATTCTCCAAAATTCTGCCGCTCGACCTGCCATTATTCATGCATGAACTGGCAGGCACTGAGCCCGCTCTGCCCGTACCCTGTTATCACTCGGACCTTCCTCGGTTTCTTCGATCCCTGAGCAAATAAGGTACCGACACCCTCACGCCATTAACAAGACCCCAGACTCTTCCTTAGCATTCAGGGTTCGTCGTTCTTCCCCCGTTTCTCGTTGCCTCTTTACCATATCCTGCTCTTTTTTCTTCTGTCATTGTCTTTCCTTCGTTACTGTTTTCACTATCACTCTCGTTGCTGACGTGACAGTGATGTCGTGTTACAATGTATTTATGTAACACATTAAATGAATACATTCAATTATCGATTTAAAAATGTCATGAACGGTTCTCCTAGAGGGCTTGGATGGAAATACGTAAATCTACCTGATTGGTGCATGTAATAGTGGGACAACAAAGTATCTGGCGCCATTGACTGTGGAGCTTCGGGTGTCGCGGCTGCGGCCGCACATAACCACAAAGACCACTCGTGGATGTAAAACAGGTCAAAGTGTCACGTTGTAGCCTTAAAATGAGTTGACTGAGGTCTGAGCAGGCGGATACAAAAAATCAGTGGCCTGAAGATCTGAGCGTGCTCAGCAGATTTGTCCTTGTATCTAGAACTGTTTGTTTCTCCGAATCAATGGGGCCCCCCGTCCTCGCGGCGGGGTCTCATTCTAAATCCCTGTCACGCGTAGTGAGACCGAGCAAGGACAATTGAACGGGAGTTCGGATACCTATGATGATATCGGCCGATTATCAGATAAGATGTTACTCTATTATGTCATTGGTACTATTGCATTTCCGAATCCCGCGACATAACGACCGAGATATTTCTTGGCTACAAAAGTGTAAATGACTGACTTGTCGGAGATTATGCTCAGGAGTGGAGACTTCTGCAAGGGTCATTGTGAAAAGGGACATCATACAATTTGTAACGCATATACAATTTACGCACTGCCATTTTTGTGGAACGGACACTGATCAACCCGGACAGGGGTGACTTGAGGTTATTGCTGTGGGACGTTATGGAGACCACAAGTCCATATAATCATCTTTCGCATACTGAGCCCAAGAGTGTGGGCAGTCCCTGAAACTAGGAAGACGGGAACCTACGGGAGTGTGTTCGGATTCTCTCCGGTATACCGGGCGTAGCATGACACACCATCTCGGCGGTGGAAGCCAGATTGCTGACTCGAGGTGTATCCTTGCAGCTACCATGATGTAATCCTCCCGCAAGGAAGTAGCTCGATTGCAGGAAATTAGGGCCATCCATATCAATGGACCTGACGATGTGAGAGAAAATCGCATAGGACAAAATGGAAGCACCTCTTTTAATATTGCGGCGTTACATCGAAAACGAAAAATAGTACCGACTCAAAGCTCAGATCCTTGAAAGTGTCTGAGATCTGAGATATGGCCATGGCCAATATTACAAGGTAGCGCAACTAGGCTCCGAAAAGTATTCGGACCTATATTTGTTTCGGCTTTCAACAGCGAAATCTATCGGTGACATTATGCCGCAAGCCGAGTTTGAGAGTGAATCAATTGAATTCAAATAGGTTTGCAATGAAATAGCTCAAATTTCCCATGCAATCTCGAGAGGTGGAGCGCTGTGATTGAGCAATGAATTAATGACACGCAACTTTGACAAGTATTATACTCACCTATACTGCTTAGTGGTGTGCAATAGTTCCTAAAGAATGCACGCTACACGAATTGAAAAACTTGTAGTGATTCAAACAATTCTAAAGTACAAAATGATTTGTTGGTTTCCGTTGAGTCATTGGCATGGATGCCGAAAGCAAGACAGGTGTTACGCTTTAGAGCACTTAGATATCAAGGCGGAAAAGACAGTAGAGTAATGTGGGAGCGGTGCAGACTGGGCATGCAGATCTGGCCATGACAGCATCGATAATGCACCTTGAGTAAACACGTTTCAACGCGGAGGAAAGTAAACAAGTGACCGAATCACAAACCTGTTGCAAAAGACATGGCCGCACATCGTCGCAGTTAGATCGTCGCAAGGATCTCGAAGGCAAACCCTGCAGTAAAGGGATTGGCCGTTGGTGGAAGGCAAATCGGCAGGGGGCACCTCAGCACGATCATTTTGATCCTGTTGAAGTGGTAGAGAGTCTGACGAAGTAACCACTGAGGGCAAATGGACACAACTAGAAGTTGCTGAAGAAGGTCGGGACGGAGCGCTTGTTGCAACAAGATATGCACGGTTCTCTCTAACGTACTCTGGTATGGAATCCGCAGATACGAAGACGACGGAATGATCAGAAAGAGGGCTTGATGGAGTTGATGAACGATCGGCATCGGAGAAGTAACCGGCAGAACCTTCGGAAGTCAGTGGAGACAGTAGAGGATGGCTTCCGGAATGCGAGTGATCATCCTGGGTAATGCTAGGGGGCCTGAAGCTACCATGCTCAGATGGGGTCGGAGAAGGAACAAGGTTGCGTGTGAAAGGATCGCCTAACTCAGCAGGAGGCTCAAAATCAGAGGTACAAACTTGGGGAGACCCTATAAACTGGGGAGAGCGAATTGGTACAGGTATCGAGGTCGCCGAAACAAGCGTGCCATCTGCAGGGGAGTCTGTCGAGTGCGATGAAGACGTGATATCAGGTTCCAATCCAGGAATGCAGGGGTCACACTCTGGAGGGTTATCGACCTGCTCGTGACTCATGTCCATGTCGAGAACTATCGGTTGTTCGTCGGATGCCTCTGGAAGGGACTGACAAAGACATCTCAGAAATCGTGTACTAAGATCCACAACTAAACGAACCATGTCGTGATCTTGACTCTGTGAATTAGTCAAGTCGAGGGAAACGTCAGGTTGGCTTGGATACAAGAGTTCGTAGACTATTGAGTCTTGCACGATGGCGTGAGTGTTGAGCGCAGAATGCTGTTCGGTCAAAGAAGACACGGAGAATGCATTAGCATTAGTCTCGAAAAAATTGGGATCACGAATCTTACTTGCTCTAGTACATTCAGATCACATGGAATGGTGTCGCATTCCATGGGTGCAAAACCCAATTGGAGATTGGTAATGCTACATTCCTCCGTTAAGTTCATAGCAACTTCAGAAAGACATGTTGGATTATCAAGACTGTTGTGCTTGTGACATGGGGGTAATGGTGTGTGGGTAAGAGTCAAGTCATGAGAATGTTCTCCATACACCTCGCGTTCCGGTTTTCGTAAGGGTTGTTCATCATGCGAGTCCATGCCGTGCGCTAGAACGCTGCGATCAACTGACGGATCTGTGACTCCTTGGGATTCCGGGGTCATGACCAAGTCACAGGACCCAACCAAAAAATCCTCGACTGCCTTAAGTTCGATACCCCCAAGCGAATCCGCGGACAACGTAATTCCTTCGGGCTCGCCACTCATGACACAATCGAGGGGTTTCTCATCCACCAGACCTGTCAAGGTGCTGGTGCGCTTGCAAATAATGCAATTGCAAGGCCTATCAGCCCTCTCGCAGATTGGGCAAGCACACGTATCGGGTCTATGCTGTGACTCGTGGGCGTCCAGAGCTAAAATCGTTGCGAAAGGCTCGCCACAGGTTCCACATGCGACATTTGCCACAGGTTTGGGTGCAGTGACCTGTACCTTTGGTGACTGCGTCATCAAGACATCCTCACCATCTGGGGTGGACTCCCGTGTGGATAAAGCATCGAGGACTACGTTTACATTAGGCTGCTCCATGGGAGCAGGCGTCGCAGCTTGGACGTATGGTGGCAGTGAGAATAGATACGAAGATGCATGTGGGCGAGGTGCATGCTTCGCATTCTGATGCTGGATAAGGGCTCCATCGGATGTAAATTCTCGGTTGCAAATGTTGCAATGGAATTTATGCTTGGCCTCCTCATGTTGATCCAGGGATTCTCTGGAGCCAAATTCTCGGTTGCAAATGTTGCAATGGAATTTATGCTTGGCCTCCTCATGTTGATCCAGGGATTCTCTGGAGCTAAATTCTCGGTTGCAAGTGTTGCAATGGAATTTATGCTTGGCCTCCTCATGTTGATCCAGGGATTCTCTGGAGCTAAATTCTCGGTTGCAAGTGTTGCAAGGGAAGTTATGCTTCGTTCTCTCATGCTGATCTCTTCCGTCTGAAGTCCTGAACGTACGATCGCAGTAAGTGCATTCAATCTCGTGCTTCGACTCGGTGTGCTAGATGAACAGTTCAGAGTCAGACACTGAGATAGACTCGAAGCGCTCGCACCATACGGAGAGCATTCGTGTCGACAAAAGAACGATCACAATGATTGCACACAGGCATGGTGGTAGCAGCCGCAGATTAGGAGGATGGACTGTCGACACTGTTGAAGTTCCTGTCACACCACCACCAGGCCTGACGAGTAAAGATGCTGCAGTGTCCGAAGAAGGGGAAGATAGTAAAATATGGGTATACGAGGCAGTTGTTTCGGACAACAAAAGAGAGAAGAAACGCCACGACTTTCGGATTGCTGTTAGTACTCTCGGTGGATTTAAGGCTGATATGACATAAGCAGAGGTGATGGTGATGACTTCCAATAGTCACATGTAATAGTCACGTAATGTCACAGGGAATCACAGACTAATTGTGCAAGAGATTTTATAGAATGACTACCAGCGTCGAAATCGGTACCTCGCGACAATGCACGACAGACAGGCAAGACACGAATAATACATAGGCTGACTACTCATCATTAGTCACTCTGAGTCATGGTGGGCCACGGTGGTGTCGATGCGGAACAAGCAGTAAAGCAAAACCGCATTCTTACATACGGGACATCGCGAGTCTCGTATCACCGCATCTGTGATGCACCTACGAATCCCTGTTAATCCAAGTCCAAGACCAGCATCGACTGTACTCACGCGTTGCAGAACAGGTGCCCACAAGTCGTCGTCGTCAGATCCTCGCATGTCTCTCGTCGACAAATCCTGCAATGATAGGGAGAGAGAGAACTTGTGCCATTCGTTAAATGATTAATCCCGTTCCTTCCTGCGACTCGTCCTGCCTTGAGTGGTGCGAAACGAGGAAGTTTACTGGCACCTGTGCCTATTGTCAACTCTAGAACTGTGAAGAAACAGCGTCGCTGACCTGATTTCTTTTGTGCGCAATATTTTCGCCTGCTTTGAAGCACAGGAGGATCGAAGGAGGAATCGGTCGAGTCAGATGATTGATTATCCCACAACGGCTCCGACATGATACTATCCTCGAATCGTACTTCACGGCGTCGCTCGCGAGAGGCTGCGGTGAGGCCGATTGAAGTCAAACTAGGGGACGCCATGGCCGGGCTGTGGACGTGATTCACAGTCGAAGGTACCTGTCCTGGATGAGTTACAGCAAGATATGCACGAGCTTCTCGCAAGTAGTCGGGGGTCACATTCGCAGAAATATCAATGCCTGCAGACTCGGGCGAAATGGAACTTGGTGTCCCCGAAATACTGCAACAAGGTTGAGATTCGAAAGCAATGTTTCACTTGATAATCATACCTGGCTGTCTGAGAAGTACCATTAGGTACAGGTACTTGCAGGCGAAGCGTCGGCACGGCAGGGCCCACCGGCCGATGAGTGAGTGAATCCTCTGATTTGGCTGCCATCCTCGACGCATCGTCGCCACTTAATGTGGACCAGCCAGAGCTCGAGACCGGCGATGCGCCGTTCTCCGGAAGTTTTATCACGGGAGAGCTTGTCTCAGGTGACCTCGCAGAGGCAATAGATTCTTGATCGCTGTGATTAGCACCATTCAGCTCCTGAGAAGGAGCAAAAAGTGCCGGAGGGTCTGGGCGCGGACTGAAGGGGCTACGGAAGTCTGTGCTTGATACCAACGGCGTGCCGACTGCAGGTATATTGGAAAGCGGCGAGTGCTCAAAATCTGGCGAGTCGGAATGGTCCACGGCATACTCAGTCTCCAGTTGTGCGACTTTGATGCTGCAGATCGGAGGTGGTGAAAGTGTCCTGGACGACGACCGCGATCCTACGCTCGATCGTGTCAGAACCCTCTGGGACAGAGGGCTGGAGTATCCACTAGTACTCGGGGGCAAGGGTACAGACGGGGCATAGGGGAAGTCATAATTAACAGAAAAACCCCATGTGGAGTCGACTCGATCGGGAGAAAAGGAATTAGAAAAGCGCTTTTCGGAATGAACTACTCCGTCACCATTATCCAAAGCATCGGGATCGAAATCTTGCCGTGTCACAGGCTCGCTACTGTGTGGCCTATGCACGACAAATAGATGCTATGGAACACATTAGAACATTCCTTGACGAACCGGGAAAGAAAACCAACATGTTGATAGGTGTCCGCATCTGCGAATCTCAGCTCACAGTCCATGCACTTGGGGTGTGCTACGAAGTGTCGGATATGATTCTGTAACGACTCGGAGCACTCAAACTGCCACCGGCACAGGTGGCAGTATGCTTCTGGATGTTCCGTTGCGCCGTGCTGCACGGCGGTCTGAGTCAAGGCATCAACGATAACGCTACTCACCCACCATAGCAAATTCAGCTTGATCACTGAATCCGACTTGACATTTGTCGCACACGGGATGGTTGCGCGATGTCAAGTAGTGCAAAGAAAGCTCCCCAGGTTCAAATAATGCTCCATCACACAGTGGACAAGATACCCGAGGGTGAATCGTTTCTGTGTGCTGAATGCGACATGAGTGGAAGATCTTCATAGATATATCACAAAAAGAGGGGACAATACATTATGGTATTCGCCTGCATCTTGAAATCCCAGGTCACATCTCGTACAAGACGGATGTATGTCATCTGGAGAGTTTCTGTAGTGCTGGCGTAGGCCTTCTTCCTCGGCGTACCTCGTTTGGCAGACTTCACAACGATAGGGAGTGGCATGGTCCGCGAGGTGCTCGTTTAAAAGGTCTGTGTTTGCGAAGACGCCCTCATGACAAACGGGGCATGAGTGAGCCGAGGCGATGTGTTCCTGGAGGACTTCCTCCTCCGGACAAACGAATTCGCATATTCCACAGGTGAAAGAGTGTTTCGCGATCATGTGGTCATCCAGTGCTAATTGAAGCTTGAAGACTTTGTTGCACAAAGGACAGTGATAAGAAGCTGGTGGAGAAATAGGGCGGGGCGGCTCTGGGTGGGATGTTTGGCGATGCTGGAAATACAGATTTGAAGGTGAGAAACCACAACAAAGCGCAATCAAGAAAACATGCCGTTGCATATACTGCGTCGTTTTCGAACCCAAGATTACACTCGACACATTTTGGGTGGGAATATTCTGAAGACTGCAAATAATGGTTGTGTAGCCCCTCTTCGGAGCTAAACGCCGCATTGCATCCCCAGCAGCTGCAGAGCGCGCGCGTATGCACCGCGGCGACATGATCATCAAGAACCTGTTGAGACTGGCATTTGAGCCGACAAACGGCACAAACAGGCCCGGGAGGGTGAGCAGTATCATTGTGGGCAGTAAGCTTAGACTTCTTTGAGAACGTGCGTTGGCATGAAAGGCAAGGATACACTTTCTTGGCCGATACTTCGAGAGGATGGGCAGCGCGAATATGACAAGACAGGTCGTCTGCGGAGGAGAACGTTTGTTTGCACATGGGACATCCCAAACAAACGCTGGCTTGTGCTTTGGGCACAGGATGGCTGATCGACCGGTGTTCGTCAAGAGCGCTAGATGAGGAGAAGCTCTGATAACAAGATGGACACGGATTTTTAAGCGCATGATCTACGCGCATGTGGTTCTGGAGCGCTTCGGAACTAACAAACTCCATGCCACAGGGGTTACAGGGGAACTTGCCTGGCCTGGGGATTGTCACGGTAGGTTCGACTTTACTGGCAGCTGCAGGAGGGTCTTTAGATCCTGCGTTGTGATCCGACTTGATGTGCGTGCTGAGCTCGGAGGTTGTCATAAATGTCAGAGAACATCCTGATTTGCACTTGTGGTGCCTCTTGGATGCAAGATGTTGTATCAGCGCAGCATTGTTCTTGAAGTCTTGTTGGCAGAGTTGACAACTTATTCCCGCTACCGTGTGCTTCGATTTAATGTGCTTAGTGCAAGACGATCAGTATAGCAATCGAACCATCTAGAGCGAATTACTGCTCACCGCTTCTAACCCAGTTAAGATTTCCTGGGTACCAGGCGGGCATAATGGACAGAATGGCATGATAGTGCTGCAATAAGGAGGGGAATGGAATTTGTGCGGAGTCTGCTAGTCCACCACGTCTTATACATGTACAACGTTTGCCTGCACACGACTTTGGCACATGTTAGCGGCGAAGACGGACCTTGTGAAAGCGTGGGTCAAACTGCGAAGCATGCTTGTTTGGCGTGATTTTGATCACAAGTTAGTAGTGGCCTTCTTCAACTTGACCAAGTTAATTTGACAACAGGCTTCAAGTTGCTCTAACACTTCAAGTTCAGCACGCATCATAGATACTGGAATGCCCAATTAGCAGGAATGGGCCCTCATCTACGAAAGTGAGATAGTTTCAGAATGATCGATGGAAATCACCTGAGGCTGCCATGCGGAAGCAACGTGCTACGTATTCTACGAAGTGGTCCAACCAGTTAACCGGGATTAAGTCAGATGACAAGTACTGTAGTCTGTCACTTGTGGAGCGATATTTGCCAAAACGAAGTCCATCTCCGCATCGAGTCGAGTCGAGACTTAATGTAACAACGATCGATGCAGTAGAAAACATCGCCTATCATAGACGTGCAGATCAATATTGGAGATCATCGACCATCGATCATCCGGCCAGGAATTTTGTCTGCGGAAGAGATGAGAAAACGTTCTTTGCAACCAGTTCGTGAACTTCAGTGTGGCATTAACACGGGATAGTATATAGATGCCCATGCCGCGTGCACCCCTGTTGACATGCCTGTTTGACTGCCTTCCGATGCACCCTCGACCGCAAGAGACAAGAACTAGTCCCATCAATAAGTTGTATATCTGCATTGGAAACGTGAAGCTTCTACCTATAGGTTAATCGATACCAGACTCTTTCGCATTTCCTTCACAACAGTCCACTGTTCACCCCACCGACATACCCGTATGAAGCGGTGCAGGCTGAGGTGCCAACGTTGTAAGGGTCATTCCCAGGTTCACATTTCGAGTTGACTCCCGCATACGGGAAACAGAATTCGCTGGAGCCCTCGTTGACTGGCCAATCCTGACATTTCCGAAAAATCGGTGAGTGTGCATGCACTGCTGGGAGAGACAGATACTTACGTTCGGTTCACTGTATGAGCAGTTGTTGAACGTTCCCGGATTTGCAACAGAAGGGTAAAAACATGTGATAGTATCGCCTTCGCATGTCCAGTAGTTAAGACATGCATCCCCTTGAGATATACTGATTGACTCATAATCGCAATTAGGACAGGCCTCGCAGGTTGCACTAACTCCTGTGCCGAGCGCAAGGAACAAAGAAACGGCAAGTAAAAAAGGAATCATGGTTGCACTGACGTGTTGGCTGTTAGATTTAGCAGTAAGGGGATCGCAACGAAAACGTACACGTT